TTTAAACCAGTGTTGTTCAACCTTTTTGAGCTACGGTACACCTTAGGGATAAGTCATGACTGAAGTCGCAGACAATATGCGGCTCATGTAATTTCTACGGTACACTAGTGTGCCACAGTTTAAACAACACTGCTATAATGGAACAATTGACTGGAGACCCTAGCGGTAAGCAATTAAAGATTGTGAGCATAAATTGTCATGTCTACTTCAGTTCAACCCTACACTGTTCGTATTTATAGAATTTCAACCAAAAACCAATCGAATACGACAAAGAGTAGGTTTTATTTCTCATAGAAAATGGCTTAAAACAACAATTAAAAAGTTTCAAAACTTAGTCCACAATCTTAAATTTTCCAAAATATCTACAACAAATTTAATAATTCAGCACGAGCCATACTCCACCATAAATTCATTAAAATAAATCACTTTAATTCTCTATAATCTGCTGGATATTTTCATGAATGAAAATGAAATTTCATCACTTTTTTTTTCTTCTTTTGAATATCTCTTCTTCACCTTTAGCTACCGACAGCCGACAAAAGCGACTACAACTAAAAATAATTTCCCATTCAAAAAAGATTTGTGGAAAAAGAAAGAAAGAAAGATTTAAACTTATAATCATCTTTATTCATTTTTTATTCGTTCCTTCTTCTTGCTAATATCCCCCATGTCTGTTTATATCTTCTACTTGTTGTATTATGTATTTTATTTTTTTTTTTATGTTTGTATATCATTCATTCAATTTTAGCTTCTCACTTCAGCTTGTTCTTCGTGTGAATGCAAGCGGAAAAATAATAAATTGCTTTATATAATTTCATTGCGATTTTATTATGTGAAGTCGGTTAAAGGAACTGACTTTTTTTCTCGTATTCAAATTTAATTTGTAGAACGAAGAGTTTTTTTTATGAGATTATGAAGCTTCTTTCATGTTCACTACCGTGAGAATAACAAATTAAAGTTAATTCCTATTTGTTCATCTTCCTGTTGTTTTTAAGGATTAGGTTTAAGATGTAAATTATAGAAAGAAAGGTTTAAATTTTGAATGAAAAGCAATTTTATGAGATTCGGAAGTGGCAATAAAAACATAAGAATTTTCATTATTCTATGGATGAGGAGTAGCTTAATGTGACATAAAATTGAAATTTAGAAAGGATTTAACTACATGACATTAAATCCAATGTTGATGAAGTTTTTTAACATGGAGATTTAATTGAATTTTGAAAAATAGCTTTGAAACAATTTAAAGCTACCTCACTTGCTTTTTAAGCACCAAAAACATTTTATCTATAAATAATTTCAATTAATCTCAAAAATAGTTTGCAAAAACCGATAAAAAAAAATGTTCTCGCGTAATCTCCTAAACTACACAATAAAAGCAATAAACAACACTTTATTCTACAATTGATTATTTTTCATGCCCATCGGCACGTTGAAAAAATTGCACAAAACAAACAACGAGTAATTGGAGATATCATCAATTTGCTTGCGGTTCCTCGTTTCTAAAACGCAATTTAATAGGAGGCGACAAAAGAGTATCAATAACCGCAGCAACAATTGAGCTGTGAATTATTTATTGAGTAATAGAATGAATGAGAGTCATTTTTGTATTGATAGCTGTTCTAGAGATGATAATATGTGGTTGGAATCATTTTGTGATTGAGAATGTTGCGTGTGGATTATAAATAATTGACTTTTGTATGTTGCAAAATTAGAATTTGAGGATTAAATGATGAAAATTATAAGATACACTTTTGATTGGAATAGCTTGATGTTTAGAAGCTTTGTATCAATGTCACAACAAGACTCCATTTTCATGAAATTTGTAACTCACTTAGAGTTCCTAGATAAGCTCAAACATCTAAGAATCTTGACAGAAACTTTTAAAAGCCTAAATATTGTCGAAGCATCTATGAATTTAATCCTACAACTTAGCAACACCAGAACTCAGACCAAAAAAATCTTATTTCAATAAACTAATACTAATACCTGCAAGATTGAGATATGCTCTGTTAGTGGTGCAAGTCAAAGTATCATGTTATGCAACATCGCCTTAATCCTTACATCATTATGGTCAACGAAATTCCAGAAATAGAAATAGAATCTTATATCACGAGAAACATTTTTCAATAACCGATAATAATCATATTGCAACATTGTACCCAGCACAAGACATGGCATAATGAGAAGATGGGACAATGAAAAATGAGGAAATGAAAGACACTGTGAAACGAGAACATGAAGAATCTTTAATTGGACGATGTACTTTTTTTTTCTCTCAATCTTCAATTTTATTCCATATTGCCAGAATGATTGGGGAAGTAGCTCAATGTAATGTGAATGTCGATTCAATTCGATGTCATTTTCTTTCGTACTCTGCTATTTTTTTATAATTGCAATGTTGGCTACATGATTTAAGAATTCTTCGTGCAACAATTTTCTTCTCTTGTGTCATTTCTTCATCTCGTTCCTTTCATTTTTAAATTGATTGAACGTGTCTTCAGTCCAAGTGCTGATAAGGAAGTTATGGCAGAAATTGCGTTATTGTAAAATTAACTCATTGGGAATTCTTCGGAAGATGAGTTTAATTGAATTATGGAATTATTAAATTACTCTGTAGCTTCTTGATATTACTACGCTTGACTTTTGATATTGTAGATTATAAAGTCACCAAGAATCAGTTTCAAGGTTTCTTAACTTATACTGTATTATAAAGTTCTCAATTAGAGCAAGTTTATGATTAAATATTTGAAATAGTCCAGAATTCAGAAAACTTCTATTACACTACTCAGAAGGACGGAAAAACTTACTTCCACTTGATTGATTTCTGATATTCCTTGAAGACTATTTATTCAATAACTTTGAAACTTGTTGATTTTCAGTTTACCTGTGCTTGTTTACACCTCAACTAAATGGTTCTTGGAAATCTTCCTTTGTAAGGATATGATATATGTTCTACAAGTTTACATTAGCATTTTAAGATGTTCAGAACTAAGAACAGACTCAGCTAGACTTTCCAATAAAAAATTCTCTGATTTTCAAATTATTTGTCATTTTGAATCTTGATAATAAGCTTCTCATGTTCCATTTGAACAATAAACTTGAATCATGCTTAAATATCAAGATCTATTGCAGCTCAAATGTAAGTACAAGAGTCAACCTGCAACATTAAGTACATTAGACTAACATTCTCATTGCAAAGCTCCGTTGAATATTGCAAAGAAAGTACTTACAGTAAGCAACTAAGTATCAAACATCAACATGTTCACAAGTATATAATACTTACTCTCTGTGCCACTAAATGTTTACAATATATTTTACGTGCATACTTCATTGAAAAAAATATGTTAGCTGTTAACATGTTCAGTCTTATGTAACCACAAACATAAAAAATTAAATAGAATGAGTAAAATTGAAAAGTATAAAGCTGTAAACATCTTTCTTGTTCAATCAAACGTCATTTCATGTTATTGATTCAAATATTATCCTCTTCGTTTCATAACAATCACTCAATGCGATTGCTATAGTGATGAAATTGTTATGATGTAAAGAACTTTGCTCATTGAATTCTCAGAATAATCGAGAGCGATAAAGCTCAACGCAATTGTACTATTACATATCATTTCTATATTTTCAGTTGAATGATCTTAAGAAATAAAGCAATACTTATCAAACAATATTGTTTTCTTTAAGATGATGTTAAATTATATAAAAGGGAATCAAAACATAGACAATAGTCAAGGACGGTGCACAGTTTTCTTATTAAATGTAGAAATCACGTTGATTTGGCAAATGATTAGGTTCAGGTTCAGTCTCGGACTAGATTTGGCTGCAAAATAACCTGATTTAGTTATTAAACTCAGAATTGAAATCTATGATACAGACTTTATTGCTTCTATAACTATTAGACAATTTCAACTCCTAAAAAGCAAAGAAAGAACTTAAAATCATATGCAATTCAAATCATGCACTAAAACTTTTAATTGCACATATTCAAATATCCTATTCCTTACCTTTGAACCTTAAAAATCTTCAAAAATATTCACAAGAGCATAAAATTGTTATGAAAATGTTTGCACATTATTCTCGATTCTGTCAAACATCATTTTGAATTGCTCGTGATGTCGTATTCTTATCCTTCTTATATCCATTCATGACATTTTCCTCCATTCATGACAGTGACTATCATTATGATGGCGATGAACATTATTTAAGTGATTTTCCTTTCTTCTTAGAATGTTCCATTACAATTTTTATGCTTTTGGATGAAAAGAGGAATTACTGAATGATAATTTGAGTTTTTAGTAGAGAATTGCGGTCGTTTGGAAGGGATTTAAAGGTCGTTATTATGTTGAAGATGGATAAGGATTCCTACTAAGATAATTGTTATAGGAACATTATGAAAATGTTATTTAAATACCCTCAAAAGCTTACGTAAATGCATTTCCTTATGTCCATTAGCATCTTATGAGTATGTTTCTGAACTTATTGCATATTTTGCATTATTTTAATACTTTGATATTATTTTCATGAATGCATGAAAGGATACAAGATAGATTCTTTTAATAAATATTGCTAACTTGAGGCAAAAAACTTCTTCCTTTCATCATCTCTATAACTTCTTGAAAGCAAATGAAGAATATATTTTGCATCCGTTTGAGAAAATTGCATACAAGGATCGTTATGAATATGAGCAAGGAAAATCTCATTAAATTAATCCGATCATGAATGAACGAGAGCATTTTCTCATGCACATTTTTATAAATTGCTCTTTTCATGCTACACATTTGCTAAAGGCCCTTCCACAATTTCATTTTCGTCTTTTATTCAAAAACATAATGGCATCGAATGATTTTCGTTTAGCAGAGTTTTTGAGTGGATATGCTTGCTGTTGACTATTGTTATTAAGGCATTTTGCAATTGTTGTTTCTATTTCTTTGCAATCGAGTTGATCAAACTTATAGCAGAACTGATTGCGACCAACTTACTTAGAACCATCTAACATGATCCAAAAAACAAGAAAGAAGAACCAAGAATCAAGAATCAAGAACCAAGAATCAAGAATCAAGAATCAAGAATCAAGAATCAAGAATCAAGAATCAAGAATCAAGAATCAAGAATCAAGAATCAAGAATCAAGAATCAAGAATCAAGAATCAAGAATCAAGAATCAAGAATCAAGAATCAAGAATAAAGAATCAAGATTCAAGAATTAAGAATCAAGAACCAAGAATCAAAAATCAAGAATCCAAGAATCCAAGAATCAAAAATTGTTAAACAATCGATTGCAATCCGAACAGAAAACTCCTTCAACATTTTACATGTCTAACCTATCAAACTTGTTTCGTCTTTCCTTAATTCAATTCATTCCAACATAAGCGAAAAAGAACGAAATTAAATTTAATGAAACCAATAAACATGTCGATAACATAATGCAAACACATAGCAAGGAAGCAAACTAAGTATACAAATACAATGAAAGACGAAAAAAATAACTATTTGAAAGCATTAACAAGGATCAAGTGCACATTATGATTTTCAAATGGAGCATTTTGTAATCGGGGTCATGTCGTTGAAATTCTGTTTCTTTTCGCTTTTTTTTTGTATTTAAGGAATTTTCTTTTGTACAGAAAGAAAAGCAAAAAAAGGAGATTATTTTTATGACTCAACAGAAGCATTAGCAACGATAGAAAGCTTCTGTATCAAAAGTATGTGTGCAATGGCTTAATGAGAATTGCATGGTTATTAAAAATAAAAATAAATATTAAATGAGATTTTTTTTTGTTCTTTTATTGTTTGAGATAAATATGCTTTTAAGCTTAAATGGGGTCGTAAGGTTATGATGTCTAATTTATGAAACAGACACTGTTTTTAAGGAGCCCATAAGGGAGATTGTTAGCTTAGGCAAACTTAGTATTCGTCATTTGACTCCATTTCATCCTACACAACATCCTAATGACATCATTTTTAAATAATCCTTACTATCTATACTCATTGCTATATTCACCTTTATGCTTCTCAATTATCATTTTAATGCTTAATCTTTTGGCAAAAATATCGTGATTTTAATTCTGAAAAGTGAGCTTTTTATTCACGTTAATGGATTGTTTCTTCAGTTTTGAAGATTTATTCTGTTTTTGCTTCAGTGATTTTATAGCTATTAAGAGTAAAATATGCAAATGAACATTTTATATGAGCTCTGCAGTACGGTGGGACTTGTTTGAATGTAGTTGCAGTTTTTAAGTAAGTTTCATGAGTTTTAATTGAAATAAATCAAACTTGAAGACTTTAAAAAATGTCTCAAATTCTTAAATTTCAATAAAACTCAAGCAAACTTCATAAAAGTTAAATTTGCATTTGCAAGTTAAAACATGAACAAAATTCCCTACTTAAAAAAATGATGAATTTAAATTTTTCTTCCACAATAAACTTTAAAATCTGTTTATAAAACTTTCCAACTGAATTCCCTCTGTCATTCTTCATCAAACATATCTTTTCATCTGAAGATTTAATCTGAATGAACCCAAAACACTTAAAAATATGAAAATAGACAGTGAAAAAAAAATCAAGAGTATACCGATAAGCTTAGTAGACACTTCAGAAAATAATCTTGCCGAAAATCCCTATCTCAAACTTGCTTTTCTCTTGTCATCTATAAAGCTTTAAATGAATTAAGAGAATGAAAGAACTTTAAAAAAGGATGAATGTAAATAATGTGAAGAATAAGCGCTATCAATGTATTTTGTATCTTTATGGAGATTAAAAATTTAATTGAATGTTAACAGAGCACACAAAGTCATTCATTACAATCAACCGTTGTCGTTCGACACGTTTTGTATTGTTCAAGGGTTGGTTTACTGAAGATTTATGGTAGTGCTTGTAATAGAGTCAGTTTGATGCTGATCTATGCTCTAATGAGAGGAAAACAAAACTCCTTGGAACTGAAACTGAATCTTTGTCCTTTAATCAAGGCTTAAGTATTATTTGGTCTATGCCAAAGTTAAATTCATATAAACTATGTTAAGGTCGGGTATAGAGTACATTATCAAGAAGGAGACATCATCCCTCAACCCTTTAAAATGTGCCTAATATATGAATGACTCTCTAAACACTTTAATTCACTTACTTACCTTCGTCATCTCTACCTGATTTTAATTAAAATCTTTTAAACTTATTAAACAACAATTGTCTGTATGAGACACAGTTCTTTTTTTCTATTCAAACGATGAACAATTTAGCATCTCTTGTTCTTCTCGCGTATGCCCCTGTGAATGATATAAATTGTCATTCATTCATACAGCTTCGCTGTAGACTTTACAGCTTTTGTGATTTTACATTCATAAATTATATTTTTTTTTTTTTCACTCTCATTCTTCATATCCATTCCATCTTGTAAACTTCCTCTTAATATGTCATGCATTCATGTATGTGCTTTGTGTATGAATACACAGCAATAAAATAATAATAATGATGATAAGAATAATAATATGTAGTTTTAAGCAAAATAAAATGTGAAAAGGAGAGGAAAAAGTCTGAATTGGAACTAAAGTAAATTAAAATGAATGAATAGAATGAAAGCCGCTTTTGTATTCAAACTCATAAAATAATTACAAGCACTTCTGTCTGTTGTATTATCATCATCATCGTTGTCAACTTGAATAAGAAAAGTTTTTCATTATCTTTCATTTTATTTGAAATTCTACCGAAAAAAAAAAGTTTAACATTTACAATAATCCTTGTAGAAATTTTGAGTGGTTATTCTGAATTTAATTTAGAGCTCCGGTGTTGGAATGGTATGAAACTGCATCTAGTCAAGTCAACTAATACGAGAGATAAGTGTCTTTAGTCAAGTTATCTAGTTGATAGGCAAAACAATTCTTAACAATCTATTACATAGGTTTGAGTTTAATTCCCAAGATTCGAAAATCTTTTTAGGTTTTTACTAGGGATCTTATTACATCCTCCATACACTTGTGTTTTACCCACCACCTTAATTCATTTCTTTATTCCTTTCTTCTGTTCTCATCTACCCTTTTTAACTCGTTATACAATTGTAAAGTGTATCACGTTTACATGAAAACACTTTACATCATCTGATATAATCACCCGTGAGACACACGTATCATCATCGTCATCATATTATTATATTACATCAGCCCTTCCTCTCTCTTCTTATATTTTGCATAATTTTGGGGTGCAAAAAGGAGATGACAGAAGTTGAATATAAATTTTAAGGATTTTTCGTGAGAAAAAGAGATGCCGAGAATTAATTTAAATGAATTTCTTCTGGAAAAATTTATTTTTCTCATTTTTCAATGTATTCATGCATGAAGCTGATTCTCATTGAGGATGAGCGGGATTTACATCATGGCTGTAATGCTGCATTCTTTATTTTGATAAATACGGACAGACAGACATACACGTTTACTGACTGAAACCTTCATATTTTACCTGAATTACATAAAGGTTCTTATTTGCTAAAATTGAAGGAAGTGTGGAGTCTTGGCTCAGTCAAAATATACATAAATCTCATCGTTCACGTTACATCACTGACGTACGACTCCAAAAGAATACAGTCGAGTGAATTGCAGCATAAAGCATGAAAACAATGAGGAATTGTGACAAAAGAAATATTTTTCTAAAAAATATTGTTGGAAGTGGTATTATTGAATGCTTTAAAGTTCATCCTCAGTTTTCCTTTTGATTGCTTTCTTCTTATTCATCCCAGTAAAAACTAAGGAAAAAATCCTTGGGAACAAGTGCAGAACTGTCACTTTCAATACACATTAATGTGAATCTTGTCTTATGTTTAAAGCTCTTCTTGGTCACATTTTCATGCACTCATGGTTCTATCGTTTTTCATTGGGTATGGTTGTGAAAATTGAATTAAAATTATGTCATTTACAGTAAGGAGCGTGAAGGATGAATTTTAAGCTTCTCTTTTCTTTTAAATAATCCATGCGATTTTTAATGTTTGAATATTCTCATGTTTAAGTAGCTTTAAGTTTATTCCATCTTAATATTTAGAATTTTGGATAGGAAATGGATCAAATGGCATATAGCATGTAAACTAGTTCTTCGTCTGCATTGAAATGTTTTAAAGAAATTGATAAGCTTGTAAACTATGTTAGGACTCTCATAAAGTTCCATTTATTGTGTATATATTCATGTCTATTTAGCTGATATTAAATCTGTTAATATGCTTGTCTGTGTGTCTGTGTGTCTGTCTGCCCATTTTTGTTATTCATAAAATCTTGAAATCTAAATTATGGACGGTCCCTAATCATGTTATTTTAAATTATCCTTAGCTTTTAGAATTGTCAGACAGTTCAGCATGACAAATAGTTTAAATCGTAGCGCTTATGCCATAGAAATCTCACATCTCACTCCTCCTTATTCATTTTTATTCACATATTTACTTTTATTAAAGTAGCAAACAGAACAGAAGACGTATGTGATATAAGCACAATTTTTTTCATAAACATAAAAGCATGAAAATTGTATGTTTAGTAAATAATAACATGAGTGAATACATACAGTACCAGCTCTCAAGTGTCATCATTGAGAGTAAAATTATCTTATCGTCATGTATACATACTTATGTCTCATGTTATTGTCTGTACGTATGCAGAAGCATAGAGTAGAGCATATCTAATACTTTGAGGAGTTGTGAACATTGCATGTAAAACATAGTAATTCCTTAGTATCATACAAAATAGGTCTATGACGTTCATAAATGAATGAAATAAATGGAGATGGGATAGAGAGATGAGTAGATGCATGTACAAGATAGTGAATTAAGTGAAATTGAGAGAATGATGAGGTGTGTTAAGGAATATTGCAGTTTCATGACTTTCACTTTGTTTTTGCATAAGTTAACATAGTAACATATTGATATACTTTACATATGTTTTAACAATCCATTTTCTAGGCTATTTGAAGAGATTGAGAACTTGATTAAAATATAAATTGAAATTCATATTGAGTGTTAATCAAGTGAGTAAGTGAGCACTTTCTTGCAGAATTTCAATAGGAAATGCTAAAATAGTAAAATAATTAAAGGCTTTAGACACAAATTTATTGCTGGTATCAATGACAGAGAATATTGAGCTTGATTTTTAATTAATTTGCGAAAGATGTTTTATGTGGTTGTGAATTAACAAGAAAAAAACCTAAATAGGTTCATTTGAATGATAAAGATTTCAAATTAAAATTTACGGCTTTTTGTTTTTCAAATTTTTCGAAATTCTATCTTAAGTCAATGATTCATAGAAAAATTCTTTTTTCACAGATAAGAATTCAAGTTTAGTTTATATTTTCAAAACAAAATCTTTTCTTTAGGTTATCTTAAATTAAGCAGTGATTGCTGACCGAAATAACAGTGTTCCAACAGTAATAATACGCTTAAAAGTGAAACAAACATCCACGCAACATAAAATTATGAACAATCAGGAAGGAAAACGCTCTACATTTGTGATTTATAGCTGCATCTTCCTTTTACTTTCTTCTTGACAACTACTTAGTTTTTAAAATAACATAACTTCATTAAAACTTAACATTCATCATTGATCTATTAAAGAAACGTCAATATGAGCTAATTTATATGGGAAAAATATAAACGAGCATAAACGGTGATTAGTTAATGGAATATTTTCTATTAAACTTGTTTATGACTACCCATAAGGCAAACGTGCTAATACCATACTATTTTATCATCGTTTTACGTTTTGCGATAAAATATAACTCGCGGTTAATAATTTTCTTCTTTATAATGTGTAATATTACATGCATGAACACTATAAAACATATCATTATGCTCGAACAATGTCTGCATTTTTTTCTGTTTATTTTCAGATGTCTATGCTTTCGAGTGTGAAAATGAAGGCTATTTTGCTGACCCAAATGATTGCACTCTTTTTTATCGCTGTGTCGGATCAAATTCAGGATATACAAAATATAGTTTTGAGTGTGGTAACCAAACAGTTTTTGATGAAGATTTGATTGCGTGCGTTCATTTAAGTGATTCAAAACGACCCGAGTGTCGCAATATGTATAACGATGTTCACAATGATAATTTAATGATGTCAGATTTAGATGAAACGCAGCCAGCAAAAGATGAGCCTGAAATGACTACAAAAAAACAGTCACAAACTACAAAAAGTCAAACAACATCTACATCGACACCAAAAAAGGAATCTTCATCGACAACATCAGCACCAGAAGACTTTTCAAATGAATGTACAGAAGCGGGATACATGCGAGATCAAAAAGATTGTACAAAATTCTATAGATGTGTAGACGAGGGAGTTGATGGAGAATTTACAAGGTATGAATTCCAGTGTGGACCTGGAACAGCATGGGATAGTGATAAAGAAACATGTAATCATCGTGATCAAGTAAACTGTGATAATCAATTAGACCAAACAATTACATACACAGAAACACAAAATTCCTCCATGGCATCATCAAATCAGGCTGCAAATAGCGCTAGTACAAGTTCAACGACAACACAGAATGGAAACACGGTGACGCAAAACAATTCTACATCTTCAATGAATAGTATGAGTAGCATGAATAGCAATAGCAATACATATTCAAATACGACTACGATTTCGGGTAATGGTAATCAATCAGGTAGCAGTCAGTCATCTCAGTCAAGTAACAGTCAATCATCCAGCAGCAGTAGTTCTTCATCATCATCTTCTACATCAAGCAGTAGCACACAATCTTCAAATAATAATCAATCGGGTGGTTCATCTGGAAATAACCAGCAATCTAGTGGCTCACAGTCTTCGAACAATAATCAAGGATCCTCAAATAATAACCAACAATCTAGTGGTTCTCAGTCTTGGAACAATAATAATAATAATAATAACAATAATCAGCAGTCTTCGGGCAATAATCAAGGATCCTCAAACAATAATAATAATCAGCAATCTAGCAATAACAACCAACAATCCAGTGGTTCTCAGTCTTCGAATAACAATAACAATAATTATAATCAGCAGTCTTCGAACAATAATCAAGGATCCTCAAACAATAATAATAACCAGCAATCTAACAATAACAACCAACAATCCAGTGGTTCTCAGTCTTCAAATAATAACCAGGGATCGAGTAGTAACAACCAACAATCCAGTGGTTCTCAATCTTCGAACAGTAATAATAACAATAATAATAATCAGCAGTCTTCGAGCAATAATCAAGGATCTTCAAATAATAGCCAACAATCCAGTGGTTCTCAATCTTCAAATAATAATAACAATCAACAATCTAGTGGTTCCCAGTCTTCGAATAATAATAATCAACAGTCTTCGAACAATAACCAGGGGTCCTCAAATAATAACCAGCAATCTAGCGGCTCTTCCAATAATAATAATCAACAATCCTCGAATAATAACCAAGGATCTTCAAATAATAATCAAGGATCTAGTAGTAATAATCAACAATCTACTGGTTCTCAGTCGTCGAACAATAACCAGGGGTCCTCAAATAACCAGCAATCTAGCTCTTCCAATAATAGTAATCAACAATCCTCGAATAATAACCAAGGATCTTCAAATAATAATCAAGGATCTTCAAATAATAACCAAGGATCTTCAAATAATAATCAAGGTTCTAACAGTTCTCAGTCTTCAAATAATAACAATAATAATCAGCAGTCATCGAACAATAATCAAGGATCCTCAAACAATAACCAGCAATCTAGCGGCTCATCCAATAATAATAATCAGCAATCCTCGAATAATAACCAAGGATCTTCAAATAATAACCAAGGTTCTAACAGTTCTCAGTCTTCAAATAATAACAACAATAATCAGCAGTCTTCGAACAATAATCAAGGATCCTCAAACAATAACCAGCAATCTAGCGGCTCATCCAATAATAATAATCAGCAATCCTCGAATAATAACCAAGGATCTTCAAATAATAACCAAGGTTCTAACAGTTCTCAGTCTTCAAATAATAACAACAATAATCAGCAGTCTTCGAACAATAATCAAGGATCCTCAAACAATAACCAGCAATCTAGCGGTTCATCCAATAATAATAATCAGCAATCCTCGAATAATAACCAAGGATCTTCAAATAATAACCAAGGATCTTCAAATAATAACCAAGGATCTTCAAATAATAATCAAGGTTCTAACAGTTCTCAGTCTTCAAATAATAACAACAATAATCAGCAGTCTTCGAACAATAATCAAGGATCATCAAATAACAACAATAATCAACAATCCAGTGGTTCACAATCTTCCAATAATAATCAACAAAATAGTGGTAACAACCAAGAATCCAATAATTCGCAATCTTCAAATAATAATAATAATAATAACAATAATCAGCAATCATCAAATAACCAAGGATCTTCAAACAATAATCAACAAACCAGTGGTAACAACCAAGAATCCAGTAATAATCAGCAATCAAGTGGTTCAAACAATAATCAAGGGTCATCGAATAATAATCAATCTACGGGATCGGAATCTTCTCAATCTGGAAACTCACAAGGATCATCAAATTCAAATAATCAACAACAATCTGGAAATGAAAACAATCAATCCTCTGGTGACAATAGTAACAATGGTAGTAATAATAATAATCAAGGAACAGATACTCAAACCACATCTATGACAAGTTCAAACTCGTCAATGTCTAGTCAATCTTCCATGTCATCATCTAGTCAAACAACCGTAACAAATAATACAAATACTAACGAAAATGAAAACCAAAATCAACCAGAAACGACTACAGTAGCAGAAATTAATGAAATTGAAGGTGAACAGTATGAAACGACCATGCCACCAGAACCACAGCCTGAAAGTTCGACCACAGAAGCACCATCAACAACAAGCTCGTCCGAAAGCACTACTCAATCTATGTCGAGTTCTGAAAGCATCACTCAAAGCTCAACGACAATTTCTTCTGATAGCACCACTCAAAAGTCAACAACAAGATCAGCCACTACGTCAAAATCTACAACAAGCTCCGGTAAAAAGCCTCAAAAATGTACTGAAGAAGGTTTTTTGGGTGACAAAGACGATTGCATGAAGTTCTATAGATGTGTTAGTAATGGAAATGGAAGCTATAGAAAATATCAATTTAGATGTGCCGATGGAACGATTTGGGATCATAATAATTGTATTTGTAACCATCCTCGTGATACATTTGACACAACATGTCAGGGATCAAGTGACACAAGGACATGTCCAAGACCAACAAGCGAGAATTCATCTAATTCTAATGAACAGTCTGGAAATAATAATCAGCAATCTGGAAGTAACCAAACTTCTGGTAGTGGCCAGCAAACAGGATCAAATAATCAACCATCTTCAGGTAATCAACAACAAACTAGTAATAATAATCAATCAACTGGAAACAATAATCAAGGAACCACTACTCAGCAACCAGGAAATAGTAATCAAGAATCATCAAACAATAGCACAGAAACTTCAACAGTCCCTCCTTGTGGAACTACAACAACTGATTCATCAGTTCCTGCTGGACAAAATGGCAGATGTGAGAGGTCTGGATTTATGGGACATGAAAAAGATTGCAAGAAATTTTACCAATGTGAAGAGAATGGCAGTGGATATACCCGATATGAATTTACTTGTGCTGAAGGAACGCTTTGGGATGATGATAAATTAATTTGTAACCATTCAAGAGATATTAAGAATCCACGTTGTGGTATGCCAGAACAAACAAATGGAAATGTAGCACATCAAACTACTAAAAATCCAAATGCCAGTTCATCAACTAAAGAAATGACCACAAAAGCACCAGAAACAACTAAAAATTCCGATTCAAACACTTCTGGAACAACAAAAAGTCCAGAGAGCACTTCATCAGCAACAACAAGAGCTCCAGATTCATCTACAGAAGCTCCAGAGGAGCCAACAGATGTTGAAGGCGAACAAGCAGTCACAACAACTGAAAGACCACAAAGCACAGGAAACTGTGAAGCCGAGGGTTTCTTTGGTGATCCTGAAGATTGTAGGAAATTTTACAGATGTGTTAGCAATGGTGAAGGATATTCAAAATACGATTTTATGTGTGCAGAAGGTAGTGAATGGGATGAAGACTTACTTACATGTAATCATCCAGATGATATTCAAAATCAATCTTGCAAGAAAGGTGGAAGTGAAGAGACAACAACATCTAATCCTCAAGGAACTACAAGAACAATGGCACAAAGTTCATCTACTCAAGGACAGCCCACACAAGGATCTACAACTCAGGGTCAGTCCCCACAAGGGTCTTCAACTCAATCTCCAACAACTCAAGGTTCAACCACACAAGTTCAATCTTCTCAAAGTACAGGAACTTCACAATCTCCAGCTACTCAAGGTTCGACCACACAACCTCCATCTACTCAAAGTTCAGGAACTACCCAAGTTCAATCAAGTCGACAGAAATGTGAAAGTAATGGATTCTATCCTGATGAAAACGATTGTAGAAAATTCTATAGATGTGCCGAAGATGGAAATGGAGGATATAATAGACATGAATTTATGTGTGCAGATGGAACTGCATGGAATGAAGATATTACTGCATGTGATCATATTCATAATGTACCTAGATGTAGCTCTCAGTCAACTCAATCTCAGCAAACGACATCAGGTCAACAGCAAACAACTTCGGGAAGTACACAACAATCTACAACTCTCCAACAGCAATCCACAGCTTCAAGCTCACCACAACAAACAACAGTTTCAACCTCTAGTTCATCATCTCAGACAACAGTTTCACCTTCTAGTTCTTCATCACAACAGACAACAGCTTCAACCACAAATCAGCAGCAAACCACTTCGCAACAAACTTCTGGAACGCCATCTGCACCGGGTGAACAAAATAACTGTGATAGCGAAGGATACTTTGCAAATGAGAATGACTGCCATAAGTTTTATAGATGTGTTGATAATGGCAATGGAGGATATACTCGTTATAATTACGAATGTGGTGAAGGAACTGCATGGAATGAAGATATCAGTGCTTGTGATCATGCTTACAATGTTCCAGGATGTGGATCACAAATGCAATCATCTACTATGCCCAGTCATTCACAAGTTACAGAAGGAAGTGCAAATGCTCAAACTACTGGTTCTCAAACAACAAGTCAATTTCAAGGAACCACTTCTAGTTCAACAAATGTGCAAAATACTGAATCATCTTCACAAAAACCATCTTCGACCATATCGGCAGCTAATGGTCAAAATAAATGCAATAGCGAAGGATATTTTGCTAATGAAAACGATTGTCACAATTTCTATAGGTGTGTAGATGATGGCAATGGAGGTTATACTCGTTATGATTATACTTGTGGACAAGGAACCGCTTGGAATGAAAACATCTCTGCTTGTGATCATGAATATAATGTTGAAAACTGTGGAAAACAGTCTGGAAGTACCTCAACGACTGCTAAACCAACTCAACAAACCACAGCTAAGCCAACACAACAAACCACAGCTAATCCAACTCAACAATCTACAGCTAAGCCAACTCAACAAACCACAGCTAATCCAACTCAACAAACCACAGCTAAGCCAACACAACAAACCACAGCTAATCCAACTCAACAATCTACAGCTAAGCCAACTCAACAAACCACAGCTAAACCAACTCAGCAACCTTCAACAACCAGTAGGCCATCTAGCGGAAAATGTGAAAACGAAGGTCAGTTCCTTCCTCATGAATCAGACTGCCACAAATTCATTACTTGTGTAAGCGATGGAAATGGAGGATATAAAGAAGTTGAAAGAGAATGTTCAACTGGTACTGCATGGAATCAAGATTTACTTACTTGTGATCATGAAGCAAATGTAGAAGGATGCTCATCACAAAGTACGGAATCTCCAAAAGAAGAAGAAACAACAACTTCAGAGATTCAAACAACTGGAAGAGAACAACAAACAAGACCTTCAAGTTATCAAACAACAACAGATAGTACAGGATCTCAAACAACAACAGATAGTCCAGAATCTCAAACGACTACAGATAGTGCAGTATCTCAAATGACAACAGATAGTGCAGGACCTCAAACAACAACAGATAGTTCAGAATCTCAAACAACAACAGATAGTTCAGAATCTCAAACAACAACAGATAGATCAGGATCTCAAACGACTAGTCCAGGTTTTTCATCTTCAACCGATTTAATTCAAGCCACTGAAGATTCTCAGACAACTGAAAGTTCTCAATCTACAACGGAAAGCTCTCAAACAACAACTGATGCCTTACAAACGACCGATAATTCACAAACAACTACTGAGTTTTTAAAGGAAGAAACAACTCCTCAAGGAACAACAGACAGTACTCCACAAGGCTCTCAGACAACTGACAATTCATGCTCAGAAGGACCAATGAGCACTAGAGAATGTACATCCGATGGAGAGTTCTTACTTCATGAAACAGATTGTCATAAATTCATAACTTGTGTGGATGATGGAAATGGTGGTTTCACCAAGGTTGTAAGAGATTGTGGAGCTGGAACTGCTTGGAGTCAAGATTTACTCACTTGCGATCATGAAGCAAATGTCGATTGTTCACAAAATTCTCAATGCTTGCAAACAACAACTGAAAGTTCACAAACTACAACCGATAATGTTCAAACTACCACAGAAAATCAAGGAACTTCAACAGACTCTATACAAACTACAATTGAGAGTCAACAAACCACAACTGAAGGATCTCAATCTACTACAGAGTTACCAAAAGAAGAGTCTACATCTGAAAATTCACAAGAGACCATTACAAGTCCACAAGAAACAACCGCTGGTCCTCAAGAAACGACAATCAGCCCACAAGAAACCACAACAAGCTCCCAGGAGACCACTGTTAGTCCACAAGAAACAACAGATGCCTATCAAACAACAGATAGTTCTCAAACAACAACAGATTCACCTAAAGAAGAATCAACGACACAAGAAACGAATTCAACTACCCAAGGATCGATCGATACTACTACACAAGGTTCACAGACAACTGATAACTCATGCTCTGAAGGATCAATGAGTACTAGGGAATGTACTTCCGATGGAGAATTCCTACCCCATGAAACAGATTGTCATAAATTCATAACTTGTGTGGATGATGGAAATAGTGGTTTCACCAAAGTTGTAAGAGATTGTGGAGCAGGAACTGCTTGGAGTCAGAATTTGCTTACATGCGATCACGAGGCAAATGTTGATTGCTCGCAAAACTCTCAAGGCCTTCAAACAACTACAAATGGAAACGAAGAAACACAAACCACGACTGAAAAGCTGGAAGAAACTACAAATTCTGTACAAACGACCACTGAAAGTCAACAAACCACAACAGAAAGTTCTCAAACAACTAATAATTCTCAAACTACAACGGAGTTACCAAAAGAAGAACCAACGACAGAAACTTCTCAGACAACTACTGAAAATTCATTAGAGACGACAGGAAGTTCACAAGAAACTACAGATACCTCTCAAACAACTGATAATTCACAGACTTCCACTGAGTCATCTAAAGAAGAATCAACTACAATAGAAACAGATTCGACTACACAAGGGTCACAGACAACTGATAGTTCATGCTCTGAAGGATCGATGAGCTCAAGAGAATGTACATCCGATGGAGAGTTCTTACCTCATGAAACAGATTGTCATAAATTCATAACGTGTGTGGATGATGGTAATGGTGGATTTAATAAAGTGGTTAGAGATTGTGGAGCAGGTACTGCTTGGAGTCAAGATTTACTCACTTGCGATCATGAAGCAAATGTTGACTGTTCACAAAACTCCCAATGTCCAAAAGAAACTACTGAAGGAATTCAAACAACAACTGAAAGTTCACAAACTACTACAGATGGCTCACAAACTACTACTGAAAGTCAGGAATTAACTACAGAAAGCTCAGAAACCACTATAGAAAGTTCACAAACTGCCACAGATAGCTCTCAAACGACTGATGGCTCTCAAACTACTACAGAATCATCAAAAGAAGAACCAACAACAGAAATTTCACAAACATCTACTGAGAGTTCGTTAGAAACGACCAATAGTCCTCAAGAAACCACTGCAAGTTCTCAAGAAACGACATTAAACCCCCAAGAAACGACAATAATCCCACAAGAAACGACAATAAGCCAACAAGAAACGACTGGAAGTTCACAAGTAACAACAGTAAATCCCCAAGAGACTACAGACAATTTACAATCAACAGATGCCTATCAAACAACAGATAGTTTACAAACAACAACAGATTCACCTAAAGAAGAATCAACGACACAAGAAACGGATTCAACTACACAAGGGTCAATTGATACTACTACACAAGGTTCACAGACAACTGACAATTCATGCTCAGAAGGATCAATGAGTACAAGAGAATGTACATCTGATGGAGAGTTCCTGCCCCATGAAACAGATTGTCATAAATTCATAACTTGTACAAGTAATGGAAATGGAGGATTCACCAAAGTTGTTAGAGATTGTGGAGCAGGAACTGCTTGGAGTCAAGATTTACTCACTTGCGATCATGAGGCAAATGTCGATTGTTCACAAAATTCTCAGTGCTCCAAAACAACAACAGATGGACCACAAACGACAACCGAAACTTTAGAAACTAGCACAGAAAATCAGGAAACTTCGACAGATTCGCTACAAACCACAACTGATAGTCAGCAAACCACAACTGAGAGTCAGCAAACCACAACTGAAGGATCATCTACTGAACAGACTACTGATTCTCAAACAACAACAGAATCTCCAAAAGAAGAGACAACTAGTGAGACTGAAAACACGACGACTGAAAGTTCTCAAGTCACAGGATATACAGACACAACTCCTAAAGAACCATGGACACAAGAAACTACGACGCAAGAAAATCAAGAAACCACATCTATGGCGCCAAATCAAGAGACCACAACGGTTCAAGAAAATACAACTCAGCCAGAAGAAACAACTGCGGAAAATCAATCAGCAACAGATTCACAAGTCACAACAGAAGCCCAACCAGATTCACAGACTACTACGGATTCACAGACGACAGTAGATTCTCAAACCACAACCGATTCTCAAACCACAACCGATTCTCAAACCACAACCGATTCTCAAACAACTACATCTTCAAATTTCGAATGTTATGGTCAAGGATACTTCCCAGATCCTGACGATTGTACGAAGTACTACATTTGTGAAAATGACGGTAATGGTGGATTTAGAAAGCATGAATTCAAATGCGGCCCAGGAAGTGCATATGAAGAAAGTACTCAAACATGCCATCATATGGATCAAGTTGCAAGATGCAATGGTAAGATAATATAATTCAAGATTGAGATTTTTGTAAACAAAAATATTTTCTATAGGTCAAACAACAACTGAGTCTACAGACACAACCACAACAGATGGTCAAACTGATCAAACAACAACAAAAGCAGAGACTGACAATCCACAGACAACACAAGAATTACCTCAAACCACCATAGAATCGGCTAATAAAGAAACCACTGAACAACCTAAAGAAGAGACAACAGAAGCTTCAAAAGAAGAATCAACCACAAGTATTGAAACTGAAACGACAACAAGCCAAGAAACCACAACTCTTAGTCCAGATTCAACGACCAAAAAACCATCAAATGGAAATAGCTCATGTCCAGAAGTAGGAGAAGGTCAAGCTCTTTTCGTCTGTCCAACAGGATTCCGCAGACATCCACAAGACTGTAATATGTTCTACCAATGTACAGAAAGTCCTGAAACATCACATCTTAGCATAGTCACATTTAAATGTCCAAATGAGACAATTTATGATGAAGATGCAATCATGTGTAGAGATAGACGACAAGGCGATGACTGCCATTCAAAGATGAATGACACATTAAGGGTATTGTTTGATCTTGAGAGTAACAAGTCACCAGCGGTGAGTTGAGTTTGGTTATAACACCTGGAATTAAATTTTAATTGAATCTTTTCAATTTCTAGTATCAAATTCGAACGAAGCGTTCTCTCTGTAACGAAAATGGTCATTTCCCATTGGAAGAAGATGACATATGTTCCCCAACATTCCTCAAATGTGCTGAAGTAGCAGGTAAAATGGAGGGTCACGTGTATCGTTGTCCAAAAGGTTACGTATATTGGCAAAAGAGTCGCCGTTGTGAACGTTCAGCCAAAATACCCGATTGTATGCATAAATATACGCAACAGAGACTGGGCGTTCCAGTTGAATGGAGTAATTTGGGACAAAGAAAAAGCTTACAGCTTTAACATAGCATAGTCGATGTGGAAGTAGTGTGAATGGAAATATGTAAATGAATTCGATATAAGAAAATAATAAGAAGAAGCGACTTCTCTTCAGCGCAATGGTGCCTATAAAATTGATAAGAAAATTAGACTATAAGACTGTATAATTTATTAAATAGCTTGAAAGAAAATGGCAAGCGAAAATTTTCTTCTCGTACTCTATTTATTTTCACACGACGTTTGCCAAGAGAAATCATATTCTCAATTTTTATTAACTGACTTACTTTCATAATCATAAGACGAGATGAAAATTTTCTTCATCCACTTTTAAGTCACATACAATTTATAATTTATTTGATCGGAAGACAGAAAATTTAATCGAGTGATTATAAATTCTAAATTTATATTCATTCTGGAAGCTCTGTTCTGTCTTCGTGTATCGAATATCAATTTTAGTTCTAGTTTTATGTCAATTTATTTATTTTAAAAATTTAATTTATTTTTCTACTTCATTAAATTCTATTGAAAAATTCAGGTGAAGGATACTGAAAAAAAATCATATTTAATAGACGAAATTTTTGTGTAGATTTATTCCGATATCCTGAATGTGTTGGGTTGAATTGGATTAATAAACGTTGTCCTTGATTGAATCGTAGTTCAATTCTTTCAATTTTCGATATCATAACTAGATTAGAATTCGAACTTTTAAATTTACCATCCTATTATTCTACAGCTGAGCTATCGAACCATAGTCTTAAGTATGACAAAATGTCTAACATAAGTCAGGATATCGTCGAATACTTCTTACTTTTTAGCTTTTCACTAATTTTACAGAAATTTTCTGGCAGATTTAAATTATGCTCTCAATAAACTTTATTTTGCCAATTTCTGTAAGATACTCAATCAATTTCCTTGAATCTCTTCCTTTCTTTCAACGTGCAACTCAGAAAAAAACTTTTAATTAGTATTGAAATTAATACATTAAACTCCTTATCGATGCTTTCTTCCTCAAGCAAGAAAAGCAAAAATGCCAGAAACGAAGAGATTTTTTGAAACATAATAACGATGTAATAATAAACGCAGCCATATTAATAAGTTTTTAGCTTATTGTCAGAAAGTTTTGTGTACTTTGTTATAATGAGAAATTCTACTCAATTGCAGGCTTTTCATTTTTTTTTTGTTGATAGTTTGACGAATAAGTAATTTTCATCCTTGTTTGATTAATTTTTGTTCTTTAATTGAAAAAGTTTTATTAGAACCTGTTAAATGTAAAGGATTTAACTTTGTTGAATGCAAGGATTAATTTTAAAAGAATTCCTTTTTGTGATGAAATTTTTCATTGTTCAAAGGAAAACTTTTTTGATGAACTAAAATTGGTGAACAGTTTTACTAGATTGAATTTTAACATTTTTTGAGGAAATGTCAAATTTATCCAGTGTAAAAACCTTTCTATAGAAATCAAACCTAATTCGTTAAGAGTTTGAAATTGATAGGACTGATTGATGAAACATTTCTGTCGCTAGAAATGCTTCCTTTACTTTGGCTATCGTTTAAATACATACATTTGGTCTGGTTCTATACCAAAAGTTATAAATGACATAAAATAATATATTTGAAAATAATTCGCTGTTAAAAAAATTTAAAATTCTTAATAGCCCTCAAAAACTACGAAAAAGTATGACAACGGTAACGAGGAAATTTTTTTTAAAGCCTACCGAAAAATCAAACCACAACGACGACTAAAATATTAAATTCATCTCATTAGAATTTTTTAAATTGCCTTGAAGTTAAATAAATTTTCTGACAATTTATCTAAAAACTTGAATTTAGACGAAAATATTTGTAGATAAATATGAAAATATAATTAAATAAAGAAAATATCCGAAAATTCGAGTGCTTTTTATTCCCAACGTATTTGAAAAATTCAAATTTATTAAGGAATTCCTTTACAGCTGATTAAAAACACAACATAAAACATTGAAGCATTAAAACATTAAACAATCCATCTTTTGCACAATGTTTTATGTTTTTGCAGTGTTGTGAAACATGCTGTTATAGATTGATGGACCTAATCGGCTATTATGGAGCTTTTGAGGATCTTATGTCATGACGAGAGGATCAAAACATTTTAATGTTAAATATTGAGTCAATTCTTGATAGTTTTAGGTCAGGTAATTGAAATAACCAAAACTACATTCACAATTTTTCCAGCACCTCTGTCCAGAATTTAAATTTTCGAATGCTCGTCCAATGTTTCACAACATGGAATTTCGAAAGAAAATCATCAACAAAAACAATCAACACGCCATGTGCGTGGTGAATATCAAACAATTCAACATTAACGGCTGTTAAAGCCATGTGAATGTATGAGTAAAGAAAAACATATGTTGCATACGCTCTAATATTTATATTTCTTTCCTTATCGTTCTGTAAATGTTGTTGAGAAAATATGAAGAAAAAAAGTCGGTGAATTATTTTTATTTTCTAGTTTTTGATTTGCACACTTAAAATTTATTCGTAAACTTTTGTTGTTTTTTTTTTTCTTGTGATAATAAAAAATAATTACATTGTTGTGTCCATTTTTCACTTTTTGTTGCCTTTTTTCGCATTTTTTTTTTTATTCTGATAATGTTGCTTCATTCTGCATGTGTGTATTAATTGTTTCATTTTATTTTCCATGTGATTATGACAGAAAGGAGAGAGATGAAGTTTTTTTTTTTACTTTCTTACTTGTCTTTGCTTCCTTCACTATATAATATATATGGCAAATATTTACGCTTTACAGCTTCCCCATTTTGTTTTGATTCTTGATTCTTTTTATCTTTTTTTTTTGGGTTTAAGAGAGAACTTAAAAATCATTCTTTTATTTAAAATTGCAACATAAATTCTTATTGTGAAAGAATTTCACTTTCTTTTATCGTTCAAATAACAAAAGGAAATTATAAAACTAGTCAGGGTCTATTTTATTTTTAGAAGAATCAATATTCGAAGGCATTTGTGACTTATTTGAAGGTTACTTGATATTCTTTTGAAATTATGCTAATTATGATAAGTAACTGGATACATGACAAATTTTTTTGCATGCTATTGCTATTACCATAAAGTATATTTAGTGAGATAACTGAAGGTAAACACCGCAGATGTCTTAAGATATTCTTTTTTTGTGTAAAAAATCTATTGATACTTATGTCTTTGACATCTGGAATTTAATTTATTGGCCTGCTCATTATAATTGCTTCCTTAAATTGCAATGTTAAAGAATTACAGCAACCCTTAAAATTATTCGGTCGTAAATTCCTTCGAAACTTAATTCTATTCTTGATTAAACATATGGGGCTATTCATATATGACGTTCATCATCATCAGTAACCAGAAATTCAGAAAATATTAAACAAGCTTATTACAAGGCTAAATTCATATAGACAATGTTGAAGCTTGCTTAAAATTAACTTGTTACGGTCATAGTTACTGAAACATTCAACCTTGTCTGTGCCAGGACGTCTAGCTAACACTTGGTGTATACTAGATTTGCTTATCTACACAGACAAGAATTTATTGTTGTCCGTCATTCATAAACAACCCCCTATTTATCCTCCTGACAATAAAAGTAATTATAATCATATTAATAATATTGAAACTATTTATTAATCCTTAAATGTCTAATGCGCGTAATTTCCTCTTCACTTTATAATTAAAGAACGAAAATGAAAAATTCTTTGATGAAATTCTTAAGCGTATTTAACTTCATTTTTTGTTTTTTTTCAAAAAAAGTTTAAAATAATCTTTTATTTTCTTTAAAACTTTCATTATTTTTATCATCGTCAGCACTAGCTTATTCACTCATTTGTAAGTGTGTGATGACTTTTTTCATTTTTTTTTTTTTGTATAAATGGCTGTTTTTTTCTTAAATTTGTTTATGTTCATTTTTTATTATTTTTGTTGAGCCACTACTTAGCGAAAATAATGTAATGACGGAGTTTCCATCAAAAAACAATCTCTTGCTAACGATTAGTTTAATTAATTTCTTTAATATTTACTTTAATTTTTTCCTTGTGTATTTTTTTTTTATTCTCATTTGCAATGATTAATTTATTTACATCAAAAAAGAAAGAAATTGTCAATTTTTCTACTAATAATTTTGGAAAACATATTATTGTAGGGGTTGTTCACTTATCACGTCTATCAAAGAATTAGATCTTAGTCACAAAATAAAAGACCTCCCTCAGTCGATAGTCATCATAAGTCAACGACCCCTTAGCTCAATGCATAGAAATTAACTCATTCAACTCACTTTCTTGATTCACGTATGAAGAAAAAAAAAATATTAAATTAAAATCTTTAAGCGAGCTTGATTGAGGAGGAAAAAAAATTATGTATTGTGTAATGGTTGAATGATCGGGTGAGTAGTAATGAATATTCTAAAAGAAATATGTTTATAGTTCCCCCCATAATTTTTTTTTTGTGTGTGTTATATCAAAAATTATAGCAGATGTTAAAGATGTCTCAAGACGTTGACTCAAAAATGCATTGTTGTCACATGAACCAAAAAACTTCTATTAATGTGCAATCATAACAAAAGCATCGATTTCATCTGTCTTTCTCGTTCTCTTCTTGGACTCATTTACAATGTGTGAATTTTCATTAGCACACCTTAAGAAAAAATTTATTGACCTTTTCGCTGCTAATTTCTCTTTTTCTACCTTCTTAATAAATTAAAATATTTCTTGTTCTACAAAACAAAACGACTTATTATGTCACAGATGGTAGAGATCCTTGAAAGTAAAATTACAAACTTCCGTTTAATGCTACACGTTTAATAACTTTTTAGACTCTAATAAGTTTTCCACGAAACCGGATTTTCTTCTTATAGGGAATTAGTGTTGTAAAATTTTCAATTAAATTATCTGATAACAAAGTAATTTAAAGAGAATGTCTGATTAGATATTTTGCTTGAATAATTTCTCGATGATTTCATAATATTACTTTCGTCGCACTGTTTAAGTATTATTAGTTTAAAAATTTTGGCAATTAATTTCAAATTTAAATCATTTCAGTGCTTCATTTACTCAAATTCAGCTATTCATCTACTCAAAGACTAGTACTTCATTTAATCCAATTCAACTAGACTAGTACTTCATTTAATCCAATTCAGCTAGACTAGTACTTCATTTACTCAAATTCAGCGCTTCATCTACTCAAATTCAGCGCTTCATTTAATCCAATTCAGCTAGACTAGTACTTCATTTACTCAAATTCAGCGCTTCATCTACTCAAATTCAGCGCTTCATTTAATCCAATTCAGCTAGACTAGTACTTCATTTACTCAAATTCAGCACTTATTTACTAAAAATCAGCGCTTCATCTACTCAAATTCAGCGCTTCATTTAATCCAATTCAGCTAGACTAGTACTTCATTTACTCAAATTCAGCACTTATTTACTCAATTTCAGCGCTTCATTTACTCAAATTCAGTGCTTTATTTACTCAAATTCAGCGCTTCAATTGCACAAATTCAGCACTTTTTACTTAAATTCAGCGTTTTCTTTGCTCAAATTCAGCTCAACATAGTCTTTTATTTACTCAAATTCAGCGCTTCATTTAATCCAATTCAGCTAGACTAGTACTTCATTTACTCAAATTCAGCTCTTCATTTAATCCAATTCAGCTAGACTAGTACTTCATTTACTCAAATTCAGCGCTTCATCTACTCAAATTCAGCGCTTCATTTAATCCAATTCAGCTAGACTAGTACTTCATTTACTCAAATTCAGCGCTTCATTTAATCCAATTCAGCTAGACTAGTACTTCATTTACTCAAATTCAGTATTTATTTACTCAAATTCAGCGCTTCATTTAATCCAATTCAGCTAGACTAGTACTTCATTTACTCAAATTCAGCACTTATTTACTCAAATTCAGCGCTTCATCTACTCAAATTCAGCGCTTCATTTAATCCAATTCAGCTAGACTAGTACTTCATTTACTCAAATTCAGCACTTATTTACTCAATTTCAGCGCTTCATTTACTCAAATTCAGTGCTTTATTTACTCAAATTCAGCGCTTCAATTGCACAAATTCAGCACTTTTTACTTAAATTCAGCGTTTTCTTTGCTCAAATTCAGCTCAACATAGTCTTTTATTTACTCAAATTCAGCGCTTCATTTAATCCAATTCAGCTAGACTAGTACTTCATTTACTCAAATTCAGCTCTTCATTTAATCCAATTCAGCTAGACTAGTACTTCATTTACTCAAATTCAGCGCTTCATCTACTCAAATTCAGCGCTTCATTTAATCCAATTCAGCTAGACTAGTACTTCATTTACTCAAATTCAGCGCTTCATTTAATCCAATTCAGCTAGACTAGTACTTCATTTACTCAAATTCAGTATTTATTTACTCAAATTCAGCGCTTCATTTAATCCAATTCAGCTAGACTAGTACTTCATTTACTCAAATTCAGCACTTATTTACTCAAATTCAGCGCTTCATCTACTCAAATTCAGCGCTTCATTTAATCCAATTCAGCTAGACTAGTACTTCATTTACTCAAATTCAGCACTTATTTACTCAATTTCAGCGCTTCATTTACTCAAATTCAGTGCTTTATTTACTCAAATTCAGCGCTTCAATTGCACAAATTCAGCACTTTTTACTTAAATTCAGCGTTTTCTTTGCTCAAATTCAGCTCAACATAGTCTTTTATTTACTCAAATTCAGCGCTTCATTTAATCCAATTCAGCTAGACTAGTACTTCATTTACTCAAATTCAGCTCTTCATTTAATCCAATTCAGCTAGACTAGTACTTCATTTACTCAGATTCAGCGCTTCATCTACTCAAATTCAGCGCTTCATTTAATCCAATTCAGCTAGACTAGTACTTCATTTACTCAAATTCAGCGCTTCATTTAATCCAATTCAGCTAGACTAGTACTTCATTTACTCAAATTCAGTATTTATTTACTCAAATTCAGCGCTTCATTTAATCCAATTCAGCTAGACTAGTACTTCATTTACTCAAATTCAGCGCTTCATCTACTCAAATTCAGCGAAGAGAACAACGCACAGTTCAATGAAAACAATACATTTTAAAAAACACTTAACATCTTCACCATGATTTTTTTATGTGATGGAGGAACTCAAAAAATGTTCATCTACATTAGAAATTTGCAATACCATTTATTATGAAATTTGTAAAAATCTTCTAAACTTTAATCTCGCTCAAGATTTAATTTATACACACTTATTATGTTTTTAAAAAAGTCTAGATCAAACACAAACGTAAAAACTGAATTAAAATTAAAAAGAACTCATCTTATCATCATTTTTGCGGTAGAAACAATGTAAAAAGTTCCATCATTTCTCCAAGTATAATCAGAAAGAAGACAAATTAAAAAAATGTACAAACTAAATTGAGATAAAATTTTTTTTTTGCTAATAAATAATAATAAGAAGGAGGTAAGGAAAGGGGTCTAATAAGAAATGAAATAGTACAAATAACACATGCTTCGGTGTTGTCATTTTCATTTTTATACAAAACAATTTTCTTTAATATATTTTATAAAGAAAAACTCAACGGGTTAAACAATGTTCACATTTATATGCAGAGTATGCATAAAGGTTATTTTTTTTTGGTAAAAGAAAATAGATATTATAGATGGGAAAGTATTTGAATAATGATAAAAGTATTTTTTTTTTGGAAGTTATTAAGGTTAACGCCAAAGAAAAATAATAATAATAATAATAAAATATTGTTAATAGTATTTTAAATTTTATAGTCAAACAAATCAGCAATACCTTCCGTGTCAGACAGTAAAAAGTTGTATTCAGCTTCGGGTTCGAGTTGGAAGAATCGATCATCTGTGGAGCCCAAAAAGAAGCTTGGTGAGAAGCTTCCAATGTCAGGCATCTCCCATTTTTGTGCACTCCCACATTGACTCTTTTGTGGACTAAATATCGACAATTTAACATCCTTCTTTATCTCAGACGACTGTTCACTCTCCTCCGTTGGCTCATCACTATTGAGCATTAGATCTTTCTGTGTCTTTATGGCTGATGTCCTGAAAGCTTTTGGAATATCTTCCTCCTCGGTATCATTATTACTCGATTGCTCGTCTATTGGCTCTTGTTTCACTTCTCGCTCCACTGTCGCATTAAATGAATTAAAGAGATTATTTTTAGACGTACTACAGCTATTAATATTATTGATCTTTGATGGTGGCATCTCATCGAATGCTTTACTCAAATTTCTTTGAGCTGATCCAAGACCACGTTTCTTTGCTGATGTCGATGTAGAGGAGGTACTTCGTCGGCTATGCGTTGACAATTTTGGTAAATCATCGTCCGAATCATCAGGTGCTGCTGAATGTAATCCACTATTACCAGATGATGGATCCGGACAAAAAAATATATCAATTTCATCTTTTTCTGATTTTAATACAACTGGAGGTGGATCACCGTCCATAAGAATAAGTTGTGATTCAGACGGTGCTTTCACAACCATTATCATCTGATCTTTGTACATATCGATATTGTGTAAATCATGACATGTCACGTAAGCATATCGCGCCTCATTTTGTCTCTTACTTGCCTCTTTCATTGTATCGATCAACGAATCCAATTGTCGTTCATTCTCTTTCAATTCATCGAGATCATGTCGCATGAGTGTTACACGATCTAAATTATTGAAGCTATTCCCACGCTTCCACTGGATGACATTTTTTACTTTCTGCAAAAAGAAAATTTTTGTTTAATTTTCCATCATTTTTCCTTTTTATTTTGTTCATTATTAATTGACTCGTGATGATTATCACATTTAATTCTCTCTTTTTTCGTGATCAAATATTGAAATTATATTTTGTGTTATCTGAGTTTGTGGCTTTAAAAACGACTGGATTTTGAGGAAGTTACTATATGAGTGTCAATGGCTTTTTAAGGGGAAATTTTTATTAATTATAGAAATGCTAGTTTGCAGCTTTGCAGGACTAGAAAGTGCAATTTAATAATTTATGGATAGAATTACAACATATGGCAGTGACTACATTCTAGAATGTCAGATGGCAATTAGCGAGTCCCGTGGACTGTCCAGAGCCCATGAATAATCCACAAAGTAACACAACAAATCGCATAACTAATTCAATAAGGTTATAATGCAATGTATGTGTGTGTGTTGTGGCAATAATGGCAATTCACGTACCTTTTCGAGAATCCCAATACCTTCGAGTACATTTGTGATGTCGTAGATCCTTCTTTTCTGAACATTAAGTTGAACACTAGCAACATTTAAATCAATAACGCCGTCTGATGAATTTTCAAGTAAATCTATAAACTTTCTCGTCAGCAATCCTAATGATGTGTCATAACGTGTTCCTGTATCTGAAAATGTTGATGTGCTTCCAACAGAATGTCGACTACTACCTCGACCCCCATTATGATATTTTTTTCCGCTTGACGAGCTTGCTGTTGATTTTGCAGGCGATATTGAGGTACGAGCATTTTTTCTAGCCATTTTTACAGGCGGACTGAGCTTTGCATTGCTAGACTGTTGTGATGAATTTGTACTGTTGATATTATTACTTGGTGGTAATTGACGCTTTATGGTTCGATAAAATGTTGTTATTTGTGCTGCTTCCTGTTTTGCTGCCACTGGAATTTTCTGATATGCTCTTTTCTGTACAGGCATAGCCATTTGTGATGCATAGCCATGATCCAATAATGAATGCAGCGATGATGTTGTCGGCGAATGTGACATTATTACTTTATATTTTAATTTTATATGCCTCTTGTAGGGGTTTGATACTACACAAATGAATAACGGCTATCGACAATTTATATATTGGTTATGTAAGAATAATCGAAGAGAGGAAGATAAACAAACAGAATAATAAAATATAGTTTAGTAAAGAATAATCACTGTTTAATTGGATAAAGACTCTATAAAATTGGCGCTGCGACTAGAGGAACTTAAGGTGAGCGTAGGAAATATCGAGTACATCGATATAAATGGTATATTCATGTTTTTTTAAAAAAAAAAAAATGAAGTTGAATTTTATTTGTATGAAGAAAAAAAAATGGCAGCCGTGAAAGACGTGGCATGTAAATGTAGGCAATGGTTCGATTCGTTGCAAAATAGAAAAGGCAATGGTTAAATTCGTTGCAGTATGCATAGGCAATGGTTCGATTCGTTGCAAAATGAATAGGCAATGGTTAAATTCGTTGCAGGATGAATAGGCAATGGTTCGATTCGTTGCAAAATGAAAAGGCAATGGTTAAATTGGTTGCATTATGTTTAAGGCAATGGTTAAATTCGTTGCAGGATAAGAAATTGAGAGTTGATTTAAGATAATGTCCAAGATTAATAGATTGACTTATTGTGTGTTTTGTATCCATTGCAGACATGGAGTTGCATTTGAGCGCACAGATAATCCCTAAGTTCAACAGTAGTGGATCGTTGAGTGGACATGCTTTGTATAACGAATGGTTGGAATGGAAAGCTGCATTTGAGATCTGGGCTGAAGCGATGGAATTAAATTCGCAAGCTAAGAAATTTAATTGGCTGTTAGCCACTGGAGGAAGAGAAATCCAAAGAATCTATAGTTCTACACCTAAATCAGAGGATGAGATTCACGAGCTGAAGATACCGTTAATTGAGATTCCGCAGTATAACAATGCAATTGCTCGATTAGATTCGTATTTCCAAGCCAAATCTAATCCGCAGCTAGAACGACAGATTTTGAGTGAGATAAAGCAGCATAAGGATGAGTCGTTTAATGCATTTGTGGTACGATTGAGAACACAAGCTGTTCGTTGTGGGTTTCAAGAACAGAGAGCTGACGAAGAGGTTTTCTTTCAAATCATGCAGGGGGCTAAAAGTGAGAAAGTAAAACAATATGCAGCGACAGAAAGTGGAAAAACAGTTGAGAATTTGATATCTTATGCAATCAATGATGAAATAAAGCAACAACAGCATCATCGTATTTTAACTGGAAGTGAAGGTGTTGGAAATAATGATGGAAATGAAAGTGTCCATGATCAAGTGATAAATGCATTGAAGGGATTTTCAAAACCAAAAGTTTTTAAGGGACAAACAAAAGGAGATGCTCAAAAATGTTACAAGTGCGGCTCTGCCAAACATCTGGGTGGCATGCGTTGTCCAGCAAATAACGTGGCTTGTCATAATTGCAACAAAACAGGACATTTTGCTCGTGTTTGTCGTATGAAACGTAGGCCAGGTAGCCAGAGATCGGTTGAATACCAGAAAAAGGGAACCATCAGTCAAATTTCTCATGAGGATTGGGATATTGAAATGCCAACGTTGCCAAAGGTATAAGATGTGTTACTATATGATCGAAAAAATATGAATAAAATAATCCATTTCATGGAGGTTTAAAGAGGTATGCTTATCGTATTTATTTTTATTTTTTATTCGTAGAGTGGAAATAAGGCTGAAATATATGCAAATATTGGTGGAAGCAATTTGCTATGTTTGATAGACTCAGGCTCGCCCATTAATACGGTGACAGAAAAAGATTTTCTTACATTACTGAAAAGAAAAGCTAATTTATATGATCTGAGCTATAATGTCAAGGACAAATTCACGGGATATGGAAATGACCAAATGCTAACGTGCATTGCAAAATTTGTAGCATTAGTGAGAATATCAAAGGACAGACCGCAACATCATGAAGAATTTTTTGTGATTAAAAATGCAGGAAGATCATTGTTGTCTAGAGTGACATCGGAGAAATTATGCATTTTAAGAACGGGATTAGAAGTTAATAGCATCGAAAAAATTCAAGAATTCCCCAAAATTCCGAATATTAAAGTAAAATTAATCATAGACGAAAGTGTTGTGCCGAAACAGAAAACATTCAATTGTATTCCCAGAGCGCAAGAAGAGCGAGTGATTCAGATCTTGGAAAGAATGGAAAGAGAGGGAATCATTGAGAAAGTGGATGGATATTCAGAGTGGATTTCACCTTTAATAGTGGTACCAAAAGGAATTAATGACATTCGATGCTGTGTGGATATGAGAGAGCCAAATGTAGCCATAAAAAGAGTGGTGTTTCCGATCCCTACTTTAGAATTTATTTTATGCAGACTAAGGAACTGTGCCATATTTTCGAAGGTTGACATTAAGAGTGCATATCATCACGTTTCGCTGGATGAGAGTTCGAGATATGTAACAGCATTTATGACACATAAAGGTGTTATGCAGTTCACTCGCCTTACCTTTGGATTGTGTAGTGCACCTGAAATATTTCAGAAAATAATGAGTCAATTGATTGTAGGAATAGAAGGAACTTTCTGTTTCATGGACGATATAATAATTGCAGGACAAACGGAAGAGGAACATGATGCTCGACTTGGACGAGTAATGGAGATATTACGTGAAAATAATTTGACACTAAACCGAGAAAAGTGCGAGTTCAAGTTGCGTCAAATCGATTTTTTGGGATTAACAATCAGTAAGAATGTGGTACGACCATCACAAGCAAAGATAGAAGCAGTTAAAAAGTTTTCCAGGCCGAAATCGATTGAAGAAGTCAGAAGTTTCTTGGGATTGGTGAATTATTTAGGAAAATTCATACCTAATTTATCAAATCTGAGTGAACCACTTATGACGATAGTCCGAGATAAAGTAATGCTGTGGGAAGAAGCACAACAGATATCATTTGAGAAATTAAAACAGGTTTTATGCGCAAAAGTGTTGCAATTGGGAATCTTTGATGCTGGTCATGAGACAATAGTCTACACAGATGCTTCGCCGACGGGTTTGGGCGGTGTTTTGGTCCAGAAAAGCGGTACAACAAGTCGTATAATTGAATTTGCAGCAAAAACATTAACAGCTACGGAAAGGAGATATCCTCAAGCGCAAAGAGAAGCATTAGCAGCAGTGTGGGCTGTGGAAAAGTTTTATTATTACTTATCGGGAATTAAGTTTACTTTGTGTACAGATTATCGGGCGTTGCAATTCATTTTTAAAGGTGCGTTTCGCATTAACAAGAGAGCGGTATCGAGAGCAGAATCGTGGGCTTTGCGCTTACAACATTATGATTTCGATATCAAGTATATTCCTGGAAAAGACAATATTTCGGATCCCTTATCTCGTTTATATGAAGGCACTGACAAGGCATTTAAAGAGGAACCATGTGTATTTGTTTGTAATATCGAAAAGTGGGACAATGCAATTTCGTTGGAACAAATTGCGAAAGAGACTGGAGCGGATGAGGAATTAAGCGAGATAATCCGAGCAATCGAAAGTGATGATTGGATGAAGGTGGCAGCAAAATATAGAGCCATGCGTGGTGAAATGAGCATGGTTAATGGAATTTTGTATAAAGACGCACAGATTATCATACCTGAGGCGTTGAGAGAAAAAGCATTAGAATATGCACATAAAGGACATCCAGGAGAGGTAACAATGAAAAGACTGCTTCGAGAGAGAGTATGGTGGCCTGGAATATCAATAGATATTCATAAAAGTATTAAAAAGTGTTTAGGATGTGCTCTTGTTTCTCGTCCGAATCAGCCATTACCACTTTCAAGAACTAAGATCCCTGAAGAGGCTTGGGTGGATATTGCAGTTGACTTTTTCCATGCGGGACCATTAGGAGAGCTACTTGTAGCAGTTGATTATTACAGCCGTTATGCAGTGACTAGAAGAATGAATGGCACAGATGCTGATAAGACCATTAAGTGTTTAGAGGAGATTTTTCGTGTATTCGGAAGACCATCTTCTTTAAGATGCGATAATGGACCACCATATTCAAGCAATAAATTTACTGAATATTGTAAATCCCAAGCGATTGAATTGATCAAAATTCCCCCACATCAACCTCAATGTAATGGTTTAGTCGAACGTTTTAATAAAAATTTAAAACGAATTTTGCAAATTGGCAATGCTATGAAAGAAAAATTAGCTGAAACATTAGAGGACTTCGTCGAGATTTATAACAAGCGGCCATGTTCGGTAACTAATCTTTCACCATTTGAAATGATGTTCAAAAGAAAAGCTCGTCATTTGTTACCTTTGGGATTAATTGATAACTATTGGACAGAAGCGGAGGCAAGAGAGAAAGATGCAGTAGAAAAGCTAAAAGGAAAATTGTATGCAGATAGAAAAAGAAGGGCTACGGAATCTGAAATAAAGGTGGGAGATCACGTAATGATTAAGGACGTAAGAGTAGGAACTAAGCTGCAATGCCGATTTGTAAATAAAAAGTATGAAGTAATTGACAGAAAATTTGCTGTATTGACATTAAAAGATGCAGAGGGAGGTGAATGCAAGAGACACGTTGATCATGCGAGAATATGGCCAGATAATGAAAAGGAGCAAATAACGAAGGATGGAAGCTTGGAAATCGAGGAAACTATTCAGAAGAAAAAGAGATGTATCCAAAAACCTACTCGCTATTTATAGAGAAATAAAGGATTTTGAAGGGTGTTTTTTTTTATATTCATTTAATTTTAAATTTTAAATAACTTTTATATTAATCTAATTTTTTTTTATTTTTTTTAGCTTAGGGTAGGATGTAGGGGTTTGATACTACACAAATGAATAACGGCTATCGACAATTTATATATTGGTTATGTAAGAATAATCGAAGAGAGGAAGATAAACAAACAGAATAATAAAATATAGTTTAGTAAAGAATAATCACTGTTTAATTGGATAAAGACTCTATACCTCTCTTCTCGTTCCTACTTTTTTTCTCTTATTTCTTAATGCGTATGCACAATTTTTTTTACTGGATCTTTTTCATCCACTGATTTAACTATAATTATTACAATTTTTGAGTGTTCTTATGATCCGAAATTAGATTTCGTGAAGAAATGATAGAGTTTAATGTCTTGGCACTAGCAAAAAGCCATTCCGTACCATTTATAACTTCCCAAATTTGATTGTCACAAATATTAAACATTGAAAATTGTAAAAAAAAACTTTTTCATGAAGCGCGGAAATTTTCTTATCGTATTTCATGCTCTATCGTCATTGCACGGCCTTCTTCTTACCCACAAACGATTATTTCAATTACCAGCTATTGATTTTGTAAATTATAGACCAAATTTCCAAGGATTTATTGAGAAATTTCATTAAATTTATCGGCACAAGAATGTTGCGTTTTTTACTTCAGAACTAAATCTATCCGACACTTAAGCCTCGATAAATCGAACAAAGCATTCTACAATACTTCCTTAAAATAAAGTTTCTGTGATCACAACATTCTACTATGCTAAACATCCATGCTGATGCATTGAAACTAAGCGCATTTTTGTCTTTTTCGAAATTCAAAATTTTAACGAAATTTTTGAAATTTGAATTTTTTGACGCACTTTTAACTCAATTCTCTGTCAATGATGTTTCTTGTGATTTTGGAAAAACTTCAATTTCTTGCATTTTTGGACATTTTAAAACTTCTTGAAACAAACTTTTATAAATCAGCTAATTCAAGCAGTCAATCACAATTAGAACAAACTTATATAAATTTATTTGAGCTTTGTTTTCAAAGAAATAAATAATATTAGCAAGTCCGAGAAAAAAAGCACAGACTTTGAGACAAAATTTGACCAAAAAAGGTAAACATTAAGAAATTTAATTAATATCGAATTTTGTATTTCATGTCAAGCGTAATCAGTGATTCAGACGAAGAAAGCAGGTCAGAGGATTGGATAGAACAGCCAACAAAGAAGAGAAGGATGAATAAAACTCCAATAAGCTTATTAACAGAGTTATGTGTACAAAAAGTATGTAAAGTTGTTAATTATAGTGAAATATCCACTAATTCTAATGTATTTATTATTTTAAATATTCAGAAAGTTGCCTCGCCAGTGTTTGAGGATCTAGACGTTAACGATTTGTCTGACAAGTTTAAGGAAATGGATGCAAAGTTCTTCATTAAATGCTCGGCTTTTTCAAGATCGGCGATTGGAGCTTCAATGACTAAGAAATTAGCTAAACATATGTCAGCAGATATAGTACTAAAGAAATTGAGGTATGAAGTATTTAGTGATGATGAAGATGATGAAGGTCCCAAAACAGTGAGTAGCAGTGATCATATATCAGAGTTGCTGAATTTCTGTGTTCAAAAGAACTTCCACAAGCCTGAATTCAACTTAATTGAAGATTATGGACCTACACATTGTCCAACTTTTACTTACGAATGTGTCCTTAATTCTATATCCAGAAAAGCTTCTGATTCTAATAAAAAATCGGCAAAACAAATGTCTGCTAAGTACGTGCTGGACATCCTTAAATTGGTAAGGATTCTTAAATTAAATTTTTAACGGGAACTTTTGATTTGAATTGAACCGGTTCAAAATTTCAAATTTATTTTATCCGTTAAAATTTTAATGTTTCATAATCGTTAATTTGAACCGCTATATCTATAATTAATTACAGTCATATCCAGATCAAGAGAAGAAAGTTGTGATCGTTAACGAAGAAAACAATGTTAAAGAAGAGGCTCGACAAACGATTACAACCTATTTGGACCTCAAAAAGCGCAATAAAGTTGACAAGATGGGATCTTTATTAAGTAACCGTCATAAGTTCTTCCTAGACTATAAAGATGATGAATTCATCAACAAACTAAAGGAAATATTACTGGAAGACATTCCATTGAATGAAAAGTATGAAAACTTTCTGTTGGAACTAAAGAAGAAATGGGATTACAACATTGCAAACTTTGCGGATCTGGATCTTAAAATGTTTGAGCTATTGATTGAATTTGATCAATTTACTGTGAATTTGGTGAGCACGGAAAAAGATTTAAAGAACACAGTCATCGAATATTTCATGAACATGCTACATTTGACACCAATTGCTCAGCATAAATGTGGTTCTGTTTTAAGTCTTGATGACATTCAATTAGTTCCTTTGAAATAATTTCAGCATGTATTATAAACTTAAAATTGCATTTTTATTGCTTTAACTAATGTGATTGATAAACTAATATTGCAGTTCATGATTTAAAATGTAACGGTTCACTATTTTTCAAAAAAAATGTCACATAAATTCAAATATTTTTCAACCGTTAATTTTTAAAATTTTAATTTGAATTATTACTGAAAACTTGAGAATTTGTGTTTTTAAAAATCACATGCGCCTTAAAACAAAATCTTTGTGGATGTTTTTGCTGTTTTCGAATTTTCGAACATTTTCGATACTGAGCGAAAAATTGTAAACACAAATTAAATTTCAAAAAAAAAAACTTAAAAATATTATAAATTCGCCAATTTCTACGAGTTGAACTAACGTCACGTGCTTCACAAGCCACAAACAATGAGCAAGAACTACAATTTCACACCATTTAACTATGGACCGCAGAAATCTCAACAACAACAGTCCAAAACATTCAATTATTCGTCAGTTCCACCGCCTACAGCATTAACTGGATCTCGTCAATCAGGTAGTAGACCACCAAAAGTATCATATACACCAGTTGAAGCTATAGCACAGCATGTAATGCCTTCAAAATATGGATCCAAGAAAAGAGCTCATTTATGCGAAGCGGAAGGATATTTCGACGACGATGATCAAACAGAGAATTTAGAGTATATTCCAGCTGAGGGATCACCATCAGCTAAAAGACAGCAATCAGATGATGATGACGAGGAAGATCCGTTAGACGTATTTATGGCTAATCTTGAGAAAACAGAAACAAAAACCAAAATTCAACAACAAGTTACAGTAACTGAGTCAGAGCCAGTCCAAACACCACAAACTAAAGGAGTTCGCGCTGATATTGATGATATGGACGATGAAGAGAGCTACTATAAGTATATGGAAGAAAATCCAATGGCTGGCATATTAGATGATAATAGTGGCGATGAATTAGATTATGACGAGGATGGAAATCCAATACCCCCAACAAAGAAAAGATATATTGATCCATTACCTCCAATTGATCACTCAGAAATTAAGTATGCGTCGTTCGAAAAGAATTTTTATGTCATTCATGATGAAATTGCGGCTTTAACAAAAGTCCAAAAAGATGATTTAAGGCATAAGTTGGGGATTAAAGTAACTGGAGCTGCAGCACCGTCTCCTGTTTGTTCATTTGCTCATTTTAACTTCGACGAGAGTCTCATGAAAGCTATAAAGAAGAGCGAATATGTTTCAGTAAGTGAAATTCTTATTAAAGATTTAACGTTTAATTAAAATTTGTTTTTCAATTGTTCAGGATCAAGTTCATTTCAGTTCAGTTCATTCTAATTTCAAAACTGTTAATTTGAATTTTAAATGTCTGTTGAAATTTAATAATTTTTAATTCCAGCCAACACCAATTCAAGCTCAAGCAATTCCAGCAGCATTAAGCGGAAGAGATTTAATTGGCATTGCTAAAACAGGAAGTGGCAAGACAGTAGCATTTTTGTGGCCACTTCTTGTTCACATCCTCGATCAGCCACATTTAAAGCCTGGAGATGGACCAATTGCATTGATTTTAGCACCAACCAGAGAATTATCAATACAAATCTACAATGAAGCTAAAAAGTTTGGAAAAATTTATAATATTCATGTTGTTTGTTGTTATGGTGGTGGAAATAAGTATGAGCAATCGAAGGCATTAGAAGAAGGTGCTGAAATTGTTGTGGCAACGCCAGGTCGAATGATTGACATGATAAAAATGAAAGCTACTAATTTAATGCGCTGCACTTATCTTGTGCTAGACGAGGCTGATAAAATGTTCAATTTAGGTAAGCAAGCAATGCAGTAAAAGCCAAGGGTGTGGTCCTGATGAAATGATCAAAAATGAACAAAAATGTAATTCTTCAGTTCCACACCCTTGGTAAAAGCTATTAACATAGTTAATAATTTATGTAACGGTTTTTTGACATTTGATTTTTAACGAACTTACAATTTGAAAATTTCCTAAAGTTCAAAATTTGAACCTTGAAATTTTTGAATTTTCAAAAACCGTTGTTATTTAAATCTCAATAAATCCGGTAAAACTAAGAAAGAACCTTAATTTTCACAGGTTTTGAGCCTCAAGTCAGATCAATATGCAATCACGTCAATCCACTCCGTCAAACATTGCTTTTCAGTGCAACGTTCAAAAAGCGAATTGAGAAATTAGCACGCGACATACTCACAGATCCAATAAGAATCGTTCAAGGTGATATTGGAGAAGCAAATCAAGACATTACACAGCATGCGCTTGTTTTTGAAAAGCCTGAACACAAATGGAACTGGTTGTTGACCAAACTTGTTGGATTCTTGTCAGAAGGATCAGTATTGATTTTCGTGACAAAAAAGCTTGATTCTGAGAAAATTGCTGCCGATTTAAATTTAAAGGAATTTCCTTGCTTACTTTTACATGGTGACATCGAGCAAGCTGAAAGAAATAAGACAATAATGGCATTCAAGAAAAAGGATTGTGACATTTTAGTTGCTACTGATGTAGCTTCGAGAGGTTTAGACATCCCACATATTAAAAATGTAATTAATTATGACATGGCACGTGATATTGACTCACATACTCACAGAATCGGACGTACAGCACGTGGTGGTGAAAAGGGTACTGCATATACATTAGTAACTGATAAAGACAAAGAAATGGTTGGACACTTAGTCAGGAATTTAGAAGGTGCGAATCAATACGTTCCTGATGATTTAATGCAATTAGCAATGCAGTCGTCGTGGTTCAGAAAATCAAGATTTACTGGTGGTAAAGGAAAAGCTATTGTTGGCGGTGCTGGATTAGGATTTCGAGAACGTCCTGCATTTGGTGGATCAGGATCATCATCCTATAAACAAACCTTTGTTTCATCAAGTTCTAATACTCAAAAAAGTGCAAGCAGTGGTTCAGGTCTTCCTACAAATCGACTTGAAGCTCTAAAAAATGCATTTAAATCGCAATATGCTTCACAGTTTAAAACCAGCACTGATAAAACGTGGGAAACTCCAGGAACTAATCAAAAAGTCTTTACTAAGCCTCCAGTTCCAGCAAATTTGCCACATCAACCACCAAATGATTCTTCTGATGATCAGAAAAAGAAGAGAAGTCGATGGAACTAAGACAATTTTATGACAATCTGTGTGAATTATGTAAATGTGAATCAAATTTGGTTTGAAATAAATTTGAAAAATTTAACAGTCGAAATTATTTCAAATTTAAACGGTTTTAAAATATTCAAATTTGAAGTGCAATTCAAATAATTTTCTGCCGTTATTTCTTTAAATAATTTTTAATAGGATGAACAGCACAAATAAGACTCCAAGATCAATCAATATCCTTTAAAAAAACACTTGTATTTTATTTACTTTATATCAAAAAATTAATTAACAAAAAATAACTTTCATAGAGACTCGTAAACTATTTGAAATGACTTATTCTTATGGTTCAGAATACGAAGGCACAGCACAATGATTGGCAAGAAGGAGCAGACGATGATTCAGTCTTTGCATGTTAATTTATTCACCTTTTCCTCTAAATCCTTTTGATCCTTCATGATTTTGTCGTACTTGATTTGCAGGATGTCGTTTTGTAGTTCGTGAATCTTATTTTCCTTCATTTTGTACTCTTTGATTTCTTCTTTCAGTTCCCTGTGAATTATTAAGTTAATTGTATGTATTCAAGATGATTATCAGGTACTTACTCGATGATCTTAGCTTGTTTTGCCTGCTCTGCTTTCTGTTCAACAAGCAATTGCTTTATTTCGTACAATAAGCCAAACATTTCGGAACTATCTGAGCTTTGATCTTCATCACGTCGATTAGTATTCATATCGAATGTCAAATACTCATTTTCACTTTGATTGACATCAAATGTTAATGCTCTTGAGCATATTTCGCAGCTTACTCCTAAATAACTGCAGTTATAATGTCTGGGAAGTAAAACATATTTTAAAGTTCGAGCACTTTTCTGAAGTTAAATTAATTTACATATGACCGTGTCCGCAGGCAGTAAATCCACCTCTCTGATTATATTTAATAGCATATCCACATGCTACGCAGTCTATATCACCTGATTCTCTATCCATTCTCCGTAAAATTAATGTTTTGTGCTCTGTGCTGGTTAAAATGTTGTGCTCGATTGTTGACATAAAAGTGCGGGAAACTCTAATTCTTGTGCAATTTTAAAGATGTTGAATTATCATTAAAAGTAAACAGATTTCGTTTTCAGTGATGAAATTATCGTATTTATAGACTTTTATTGATTATGATTAGTGAAATCCAGTTGACAAAAAGTTTGTATTTAAGCTTAAAATTGACTTAAATTATTGCACCAAATACTGTTCAGTAAGCCAAATTCAATTGATTTCAGTTCATTTCAACTCAAATCAGTTTATAATAACATTGTCAGAACAATTTTGAATTTTATTAATTTTATCCTTTAACAAACAATATTACAACAGTTCCTTGAATAATTTTACACTATCCTTAAGTGTATCAACCTAAAATGATTCAGAACAAAGCGCGTCTTACGCAAATAAGCTCGAAATTTTGGAAAATTCTAAACCGAGAAATCAAAACAAAAGTCGATGAAGTAAAAAAAGTTAAATTTACGGAAACAATAAACCTTCCGAAGACTAAGTTTCCAGCTAGATTGAATCAGCAACAACGTTCGGATGTTGAGGATGTGATTAGAACTGTAAGTAATTTGTTTAATGATTTATTTCTGAATTTTAATATTTGACTGTTCTTAGAGACATTTGGAAAGTCTTTATGAATGGCAAAGGAACCACCTAAAGTCACCAAATGCTGATTATGTGCTGCATGATGGGCCTCCGTACGCAAATGGTGACTTACATATGGGACATGCTATCAATAAGGTGAGGAAGTTCATTGACTTGCTTCTGGATTATTTGAGTGCTGCTCAGGCTTAATGCAGCATGTTTCTAGTCTGAGTATATCTATAACTATCATATCTCACTTAACAGGTTCTAAAAGACATAATCCTTAAGCAGAAAATCATGAACGGAACGAGAGTGCATTATAAGCCAGGTTGGGACTGTCATGGACTTCCTATAGAACTTAAAGCATTAGGAAGTACCAAAAATGTCTCGCCAATTCAAATTCGTCAAAAAGCAAAGACGTTTGCTATGGAAGCTGTTGAAAAACAGAAGAAATCCTTTGAATCTTGGGGAGTTACTGGATCATGGAATGATCAGTCACAGACTTACAGGACATTCGACAAAAGCTACATACAGAATCAATTGAGAATGTTCTACAAAATGTATCAGAAAGGATTAATTTATCGAGATTTTAAGCCTGTTTATTTCTCACCGTCATCAGGAACTGCTCTCGCGGAAGCGGAACTAGAATATGATGACAATTTTAAAAGCCCATCCCTGTATTTCCGATGTGAAATTGTCAATTCTAAGGATATTTGTGGATCTGAGAAGTTATATGCTCTTGTGTGGACAACAACGCCGTGGACATTGCCTGCAAATCAAGCAATTTGTTACAGCAAGGATTTAATGTACTATTTAGTGAAGATAAATGGCACCAACTTCATAATTTGTGGTGAAACTGTAGATAATCTTCAAAAAGAACTAGAAACAGACATAAAAATTATTAAAAGCATTGATGTAAAGGAACTAGAAAATCTGCAGTACCGACATCCAATAAATGATGATGAAATACTTCCATTCTTTGAATCGAGCCATGTGCAGGCTGATAAAGGAACTGGATTAGTTCATACAGCACCATCGCATGGTCAAGATGACTTTCTAGTCTTCCTTAATAAGAAAATTCCATTAAAATGCTTAGTCAATGTCAAAGGATGTTACAATAAATTAGCACCCGAATTTCTTCATGACATGGAAGTGCTTGGTGATGGAAACAAGTCAGTCATCGAGTATGTAGAAAGTAAAAATGGAATTGTTAAATTAAATGAGTATAGACATTCATATCCAATCGATTGGAGGACAAAAAGTCCAGTAATAATCTTAGCCAGTGAGCAATGGTTCATAAATACAGATAAAATTAAATCTAAAGCCATCCAGGAACTTGAAAAAGTCAATATTTATCCAGAAAAGTCATCGAAAATATCCAAAAGCGTTTTAAAGACACAGCTTGAGAAAAGACCTTATTGGTGTATAAGTAGACAAAGAAGTTGGGGAGTTCCAATTCCAGTGATGTATGATGAGAATAAAAATGCTGTAATTAGTGAGGAATTGATTGAAAATTACGTTAAAATGGTTGAGGAAACTGGTAAGAAATTTTTGATTTTTAACTTTAAATCCTGATTTGAAATTTTAAAAACTTACAAATTCTGTGATATTGAAAACATTTGTATGGTTTTTAAAAGCTAATTTGACATTCAAAACAATACAAATGTTTGATTTATTCAGGAATTGTAGGGTTTTTCGAAGATAAATTCTTCAGAACCATACAAATGATTCAACTTACCAATAATTTATATGGTTCTAATCTATCCTTAAATAGGTTCAATAGATTTTTGGTGGGAAAAAGACACTGTTGACTTACTTCCATCCAATCTAAAGCAACCAAATCTCAAAAAAGGAAACGACATTCTCGACATTTGGTTTGATTCCGGAATTTCATGGTCGCAAGCATTAGAAAATGATAAAGTAGCAGATTTGTACCTAGAAGGTGTTGATCAATTCACTGGCTGGTTCCAGTCATCTCTAATGACAAGTATAGGAATTCGTGATATTGCACCATACAAAAATATCTTTGTGCATGGCTTTACAGTCGATGAAAAGGGACGAAAGATGTCAAAATCATTGGGCAACATAATAAGTCCAGATACAATCGTTAAGAAATATGGAACTGACGTTATGCGATGGTGGATTGCAGCACATTCAACGCAACATTCAATGATACCTGTCAGCAGTAAATTACTTGACGATAGTGCCAATAATTTAATCAAGATACGTGCAACATTGAAATATTTGCTTGGCATTGTTGGAACTGACATGAATACGACCATCGATGGGACACAATTGACGCATTTAGACAAATTTATTCTCCATCAACTCACCGACTATGTAGCGAATGTGACTAGCTTTTATGAAAATTTTCAATTTAATCGAATAATTGCGATGGCAAATAATTTCGTAAATACAGACCTGTCAAGCTGCTATCTTCACTTAATTAAAGACCGCCTCTATTGTGGATATGACATGGAACATGACCAGTTTCGTGGAATTTTATCAAATTGCTATCGTCAATTGTCAAAAACTTTATATCCAATTATGCCATTTTTAATTGAGGAAAGTTGGAGCTACATTCAGCCGTCATGTTCATTTTATCATAGCAATTTATCAGATGATCAGAAATGGAAGTTTAGTGACAGTAAAATAATTGTCGATTCCGCGTTAAGCGTTAAGAAGATTTTATGTTCATCATTGACCGACATGAACACTTTGAGACTTAATGTGACAATAGAAGGAAATGACGAAAGTTTAAAAGCATTAAAGGTGAGAATATCGCTGCTTTAATGTGTTTAATTAGGCTTAATTTACTTCGCTGGATTTTTTTGGGTTTTAACTGAAAATTGAGTTCTGATGCTCTGGATGTACTTTATTGAGAGTTTCTTGAAGCAAAGGATAAGTTACAAGCTTCTATTTACTGTAAATAAGCTTAATTATAGCAGAATTTGCAAATTTAAATAATCGTGTCTGTTCAGTAATTCAAAGTTTGTCTCAGTTCAGTTTAACTGACAAATTTAAATCTTTAAACTCCGTTAAATTTTTTAAAACTTAAAATAACAAAACGTTAACATTCTTAATTCATTCATCAAGGTATTACATCCGCAACTTGACACAGAAATCGCTGATTCTGAACTTTGTGAGATTCTTCAAGTTTCATCGATCATCCTTAAATCATCAGCACATCGAGAACTTCAAATCACCCATAAAACATCAGAAGCAGATGTATGTCCAAGATGTAGACGATTTGCAGCAACAAATGGCATTTGCATGCGATGTGAAAATGTCTTAAAGTCAAAGAACATGCCAATGTCATGAAGGATGCAAGCATTGTAGACATTGAGTTGATTAATAAAAGTTAATTTAAGTAATACATAAATTGAATTATTCACATAAATTCAGTCACGTGTGATGATGATTATCGTGAGATACTTGAGTAGTCAGATTGTGTAGATTTATTTTATATGTTCGAACGGAATCATGGTCATGACATCGCAAGTTTATCAACGTTATTATCAGATGGTGATCTTTTCGAGAAAGATGAGGAATATTCGACAGGTGCTTGAATTGAAAGAAGAAAATAACGGTAAATTTAAATTTAAAACCTTACAAATGTTTATAAAATATTAAAACCATGCAACAGTCAATTTAAATGTTTCAAAACCTTACAAATGTTTCAAAAATGGAATTTTTATGAAATTTTCAGCAAAATGGCATAAATAGCTCAAGCAGTCTCTCCAAAAAACAGACCTCAGACCTTTAAGCTTAAACAAAAAATATGATAATATCAAGTCTCATGTAATCATCCTCATAAATGCCCAATAATTTTAAACTTCCAATAAATTGTCTGACATAATTGCTCGCAATCACAATTAAATAATGCCGATATGAGCATAAAAAGATGAAAAATTGCATTAATAATTCATATCGTTAATCGAAAAATGCGATATAAATTTCATATTTATATTAAAGGAGATTTCATGCCTCACAATCGCTCGAATTTATTAATAAAGCAATTAAAATAAATCTTTTTGCACAGCACTGTATCGAAAGGCTTGCAAATGAAATAAATATTGACGGAATAATTAAAAGAAAAATTGAGAATGTGATAAGAGAATTTATTGAGTGTCTCATCCACTTCCTTGTCTTTTTCTCATCCAAAACAACTATTGTTGATAGATTTATAATTCCATTCATCGATTAATGTAAAGCAGCTATGTTCTCTGTCCACAAACCGTGCTTATCTTAAGCGATCGATCTAAAAATTCCACAATTGTCTGCATTCTTGTTTTCTGTATTTTATTTGGATTCCAATAAGACTGTGAGACTTGCACATGAAGTTGTTTGTGACTTACAAAAGCGCATTTTATGGCTGAATACTTATTTTTAAAGAATAACGGTAAAAAAATATTTGAAATTTAACAGTCGAGAAATATTCGAATTTTTAAATTATTGAATGACAGATAGACAACAAATAACCAACAGCATCATTTACTAATTTTAAAATAATGCCCTAAAATTAACACAACACAAAATAAGTGTGAGAACCTTTTTCACCGTTTTTTGAGTTCTTTTGAACAAATGCAGTGGACGTTGGCAGCGTGTCACAAGTTAATGGCACGGAAAGTGAATAAAATAAAATAAATTTGTGGATTGTTAGCATTGGAATTAGGAATGATAGGGAAGTTGCTTCAGAATGCTCGTGTCTAGGACGAATTTTTTGTGATTTTTAAAAAATTTAAGTTTAACGGTTTCAAAAAATTTCAAAATAATTGAAATTTAAGAACCTCAAACTTTGAATCTTAATTAACCGTTAAAAATTTGAATTTAAAAAATCTGTTTTACTTTTTTAAAAACCATAAATGCGCTTTGTACTCAATAACAACATTAAATGCTCGATAACACAGTTCTTCCACACACACAACGACTTCTTTGACGTTGATGACCGAAAGGAAGCATTTACAAAAATTATGTATTTGTTCAAAACGAGTGTATTTTTGTGATATGAATCTCTTGTTACTTAATTAAATGTCTTGCTGAGCATTCGCGAGCATATTTCTTATTTTACAGTTTTCTGTATGAAGGTTCAAAAATTATAGGAAATAAAAATTAGTAGTTTTGAGCTACATTTACGCGCCTATAGCTATATATCATAAATTATTAAATGTGGGAAGATTCTCATCATTATTTTATATTGGAATTAAGCTACAATGTAACCACAAAATTGCCTTCACTCGATGACAATTGAACACTTTCTCGCACGTTTATTGATATTAGCGGATTAGTAGAATAAATTATCAAAGTTTGTAGATGTGGCATCGATATGAAGAGAGCAAAAAACGATAGATTTTGCAACAAACAAGTTGGTCATAAAAAAATTAAAGCTTTAATAAAGGTTATTTAAATTTTTTTAAACAGGGTTTTGTTGAATCTAGCGGTGTATCCAGAAAATTATCCAAACTAGTAAAAAGATCATCAGTATTCGGATCTGGGCAATTTCAACTTATTTTCTAAGGTTGATCGATGTTGTGAAATAAAAAATGGATTCAGCTCAACATAGTTGCTGCTGATTGCAAAAAACCTGAAATTTCTATGTGCTTTCATTGCCAAAATCTCAATGTTTCAGCTTGCCAGCCAACCAAAGTGAAAAATGCTGTTAAAGGTTTAAGACTCAACTTCTAGTTTTACATCTTGATAATTTAAAGTTTTTTGTTGGTTTCTAATTTTTGACACCAATTTAATTATTTTGTGTCATTCGGATTTTAATCTAATTTGACAAAAAAATACGACATGTGCGTTGCAATACAAATAATTAATGCAGATCACTATTTGAAGGTTAAGTTAATCTATAAATTTGCAAAAATTTTGATATTTCAGTTTAGTTCTTTTTCAAAACTTCTGGTGACAAGTTCCAAGTGTAAAAATGATAGTTTTAATAATTTTAATTTTTTCCATATTATTTTGGATTATTAAATATTTTTGGGACCATAGAAGATTCTACTATCTTGCATATAAAATTCCAACAAGTTCGTTCGACTATTCATTTAGTGGAATTTACAAATTCTTCACAGCAGATAACAAAACTATGTTAAATATTTTAAATGAAATTTTAAACAACGAAAATGAAATCGTAAAGATTTGGCTTGGTCATATTTTGCTAGTAGTTGCAAATAATCCAGATGATATAAAGACTATTTTTAATGCCAAGCAGTGCTATGATAAACCTAGTTTTGTTAAAGTTTGTGCTAAAATCGAAAAAGGCTCACTTTTTGGATACTTAGAATATTGGCGATCACATCGAAAAGTTATGAATCCATTCTTTGGACTTCAAGGATTGAAGGCATTGATTCCAATTTTTAATGACAAGTCAAAAATTTTTATAAAAAATCTTGAAAAAATGATAGACAAGGAAGCTTTCAATATTTTCCATAACATGACAGCTTTGACTTTAGAAACGATCTTAAAAGTCATGGAATATGATGTGGATATACAGAATCAAGAATCCAAAACTCGAGATGTGTTTATCATGAATTTAGATACGTGAGTTTTGGTCTTGTGGTTTAAATAAGCAGATTCTTTGGACTCTGGGATTAGAAACTACGAAAACAAATTGTGCCTTTTTAAACTTCAAAGGCATCTTCTTAGCCATTGTTCCAAAAACTAATTAGATTCAATTATTTCTCTTTCTACAGCTGCGCAAAATTGGTTTTCATTAGAATACTTAAATTTTGGTATCACTCAAAAATAATCTTCGAAAATTCCAGTCTCTCTAAACTGTATTATCAATCAAGGTCTAATTGTGCTATGGCCTTTACAAATGACATAGTTCAATATGTTCGTAATAAAACCAACAACAATGAAGACGAACAGCATAAAAGCTTTATTCAAGCTATGGTAAATCCAAGAAATGATTTTACTGATGATGAAATTAAAGATGAAGTGCACTCAATTGTTCTGGCTGGTCAAGACACATCAGCAATTGCATCTTCCATGACACTTTTGGTGCTTGCAGTATTTAAGGATGTTCAGCAAAAAGTTGTAGATGAACTGTATCAAGTATTTGGAAAAACACGAGACACTCCATACATTGAATTTGAAAATGTGAATGAACTTGTTTACCTTGAAATGGTAATTAACGAAGTAATGAGACTCTACCCGGTGGTTCCATTCGTAGTTAGACAAGTCGATGAAGAAATAGTTCTCGGTCATAAATATACAATTCCAGTCAAAGCAGCAGTTGTTGTTCCAATCAGTAGAGTTCATAAGAATAAGAAGTACTGGGGCGATGATGCAGAAGAATTCAATCCAGAAAGGTTCAGCAAAGAGAACATCTCCAAGATTCATCCTTACGCTTTTGTACCTTTTGCAAAAGGTCCACGCATGTGCCTTGGTTATCGATATGCAATGATGTTGATGAAGATTCAGCTTGCCAACTTTCTGATGCGTTATGAAGTTGATACGGATTTAAAGCTTAATGAATTGGAGTTTTGTTGTCATGTGACAATGACTGTGTGTCAGGGATATATGATTAAGGTTAGGAATAGAAAATGTTAGGAATTATTCTCGTTGCTATTTGAAAATGAATTTTATCAAGCCAGTTCCTCTCACATAGTCAATATCCCCCCTACAATGAGTTCTGTTCTTACTATATATCAAAGATTTAAAGAGAACCTTACATCTCATAATTTTTTTAAAATAGAATCAAGTTACAATGTTTAAGCAAAACTACCTTCATTAAATGACAATAGAAACTTTCTTGTGCGTCAGTTTGTTCATTGATATAAGTGGATTAGTAAATTGGCATAGCCAGAAGTTTTCGAGAGCAGGTCGGGATTTCAAAAAAGTTAAGGTCGTCATTTTTTGCTTATAATCGTATTAAATAATAGTAATTTCATGCAAATTACGCTAGCTACGCGTCTGGATTTTAAGAAAAAAATTCTCGAAGCTTGAAGTTGTAGCAAAACTATGATGATATTAACTATAGTACTCTACGCATTGATAGATTTTACCAGATTTTACAAACAGTCTTGTTGGGCATGAACAAATTGAAATTTAATGGATGTCTGAGTTATTTTCGTGTGAGTGCCTCAGTCAATGGTGGAGCAGAGTTAAAAGTTTGTCGTTCGGGGCCAAATTGTAAGTTTTCACTTCATTTATAGAATTTAATGCTCCGGTAAAATATTTATGTTTGACACCGTTCCCCAACTTCTGATGTTCCGTGACTTTGAGAAGAAAGCAGAATTTTGTGATATGCTTTGAGCTTTAACAAGAAAAGGTTTAAAATCTTATGATCTAATAGACATCATTTACGAACGACCCAATAGTGCCTAAAAGTTTCTTCACTTGAATTGTTGCTTAATGGAATTTAATTATTATTTGTTTGATCGGTAGATAGAATTTATTTTGATCGGTCAAGGTTGAATGATGTATGAGAAGGCAAGATTTGACATGTAATGGGTTGTTCAATAATCACGGTACGTATTGAATGGCTTCTAACGTTCAAGTGTGTGAGAGGAGTTTGGGGGGGGGGGGGGGGCTAGTTACTTAAAGAAGATTTAAATGAATGATTTTTTAAGAATTTAATTTTTTTTTCATTTTTGGAAAAAAATTTGCTTTTGGGAACCGTAATACATTGACAGCCCCCAAGTGATCGGCCTCTTATTTCATTTTAATTTGAGCTTCGAAAACTCCTGTACAATTTTTGTATATAAAATTGGCACGTGAAACAAGGATATAAAACCTTTTTATTTTGATATTTTATTTTAGTTCTTTTTAACCACTTCGTCTAACAAGTTCTAAGTCCAAAGATGATCGTTCTAGAAATACTAATTTTTACCATTATATTTTGGATCATTAAATATTTTTGGGACAACAGACGATTTTACTATCTTGCGTCTAAAATCCCAACAAGTGCGTTTGACTTTTCATTTAGTGGAATTTACAACTTTTTAACAGCAGATACCAAAATGATGTTAAAGCTTGTCAATGAAAGTTTTGATAATGAAAGTGATATTGCTAAGACATGGCTTGGTCATATTTTATTCGTAATTGCTAATCATCCAGATGATATTAAGACCATTTTTAATGCTAAGCAGTGCTATGATAAACCTAGTTTTGTTAAGTTTTCTGCTAAAATTGAAAAGGGATCATTATTTGGGGAATTAGAATATTGGAGATCACATCGAAAAGTTATGAATCCATTTTTTGGATATCAAAGTTTAAGAGCAGTGATTCCAATATTTAATGACAAGTCAAAAGTTTTGATCAAAAGTCTTGAATGTATGGTAGACAAGGAAGCATTCAATATTTTTCATAACATGACAGCTTTAACTTTAGAAACGATCTTAAAAGTCATGGAATATGATGTGGATATACAGAATCAAGAAGCCAAGAGTCGAGACGTGTTTATCAAGAATTTAGAAAAGTGAGTTTAGTTCATAAAAATTAAATGAACAGAAGTGTTTCGATGGTGCAACAGTTTAGTGCTTTTGTATCTAAAAATTGCAACATCAAGATGCATAGAGTCTGATTCGGAACTCAGATCGGAAACTTGTTATTGTCCAAACTATTCAAGTCAAAGGCTTTAGTCATCACTAGCTTAATTAAATTCAATTTATTCTTATTCTACAGCTTCACAACAGTCGCTTTCCTAAGAATGTTCAAACCCTGGCTTCATCCAAAAATCATCTTCGAAAATTCCAGTCTTTCCAAAATACAGCGTCACGCAATGTCAAATAGTGCGATTAGCTTTACAGAAGATATAATTAAGAACATTCGTTCCAAAACCAACAACAATGAAGACGAAAAGCATAAAAGCTTTATGCAAGCTATGGTAAATCAAAAAAATAACCTTAATGACGATGAACTTAAGCATGAAGTACATACGGTTGTGCTAGCTGCTCAAGATACCTCAGCAATATCATCATCCATGACACTTTTGGTGCTTGCAGTATTTAAGGATGTGCAACAAAGAGTTGTAGATGAACTGTATCAAGTATTTGGAAAAACACGAGACACTCCATACATTGAATTTGAAAATGTGAATGAACTTGTTTACCTTGAAATGGTAATAAACGAAGTAATGAGACTCTACCCGGTGGTTCCATTCGTAGTCAGACAAGTCGATGAAGAAATAGTTCTCGGTCATAAATATACAATTCCAGTCAAAGCAGCAGTTGTTGTTCCAATCAGCAGAGTTCATAAGAATAAGAAGTTCTGGGGCGATGATGCAGAAGAATTCAATCCAGAAAGGTTCAGCAAAGAGAACTTCTCCAAGATTCATCCTTACGCTTTTGTCCCTTTTACAAAAGGTCCACGAATGTGCCTTGGCTATCGATATGCAATGATGTTGATGAAGATTCAGCTTGCCAACTTTCTGATGCGTTATGAAGTTGATACGAATTTGAAGCTTGAAGAACTTGAGTTTGGTGTTCAAGTGACAATGACTGTGTGTCAGGGATATATGATTAAGATTAGAGATAGGAAATATTAAAAAAATTATGATTGTTGTTTGGAAATGAGTTTAATTAAACTAGAGAACCAGTTTCTACCCTTAAATCAACAATCGATGCTCTACAATTTGGAGGATAAATAAAATTTGACTGAAACTACGCTAGGGTGGGAAACTGCTTCCTTATTCAACTCAAATTTAAGAGACGAATAGAAATTATGTTTAGCTGAAATTAAAGGCTTATTAATGATTACATAGGTCGAGTACGGTTACGAAAGTCTGAGATTAGATGACGAAAAATAAAAATTTTATTCCGATTCTCAATTTTTATTTTTCAGAAATATACTTTCAAAAGCTTCAACGAAAGGTACCAATTGCAGTTTAAATTTGTCAATAAAAATCTTAAAACGACTGCTCTTAAGGCTCTTGTCAGCCATAAAATTTACTTATTAATTAAGATTGGATAACATTAAATTTAATTGTTCCTTTTTCTGTAACTTGCTTGCATGAAGGGACTGACAGTTGAGTATTAATGTGAGTATTCTCGTGCTTTTATGGGACGATTTAGATCAATCTTTATTCCTTGATTATTGATATTAAATTGTTTAGATTTATTTTTTTTGAGGTTAATAAACCTCAAAAAATAAGTTTTTTCAGATGAAATCCACTTAAAAATGTCTGATTTACGAGTTTCTTAATCTTTTTCAATAATTAATTCAGCGAAGACATCAAAGCAAGCGGAATAGTGTGTGCGATTATTTCAATTAACGTCATTAGCATCATCACTAAGAGTCGATCTCATTCAATATGCATATGACATAAAATGGCTTAATTATAATCGTTTTGAGCAATAAAATAGTATTATTAATATCAATATCGAGGCAAAGAAAAAATATCTAATCTGTTATGCGACTTAAATGGTATAAATTGATTTTAATAATCGTACAATGAGATGAACATACATGCAATGTTAATTTTCAATTCCAAATTGAAGCATTTTGCCATTTCCATAGTTGTAATTTGAGATATTTCTTGACGTGAACAGGAAAACGAGCGGAATGGAAACGAATTGAATGTGTGGCTTTATATAGTTTATAGTTATCACTTTTATTGTTTATGTTATTGCAGCTTAGAATGTGTGACTCTCAAGAACGTTAAGTATTCTTGTCATTTTGTCTTCGTGGGTTACTACTTGGTAAAATTTTCATACTTTCAAAATCTCAAAACTAGAAATAATTGAATCTACATTTTTAAACGGAAATTTCAAATTCATGTATTTTACGTTCAATAATTTTTGGTCACTGAACGCACTCAGAATAACAACATTGAAAGTAACGAAAGTATTTTATTTAACTAGAATAGTTAAATGATGCATTTTTAAAGGCAATTATGTTTAAAATTTAAAAAAAAGGCATTTAAACTTCTGATGACAATGTAGATTAGGTAGTTAAGATAAATATTTCAAATGAAAAATTGAAATTTTGAGTCAATTTTTAGCTTAATCAATAGAATTTTAAGAATGATAGCCAATGGATTTAATGTAAATATCATAAGAAGAATTAAGGCGAAACACTCGTAAGATGTTAGAAAAAAAAAAGAATTTATTTTCTGTAAACTACAAACAAATAAAAACAGCGCATAGCACTTATACAATTTCATACTCAATATTTATTTCCTATAGTTGTTCAATAACTGCCACACAATTATTGTCGACGCACATAGAGAATTTATTTTTATTTGTTAAACGTTTTAAATGTGAAACTTACAGTTTTAACATTAGTTCAATACTTTATCCCTTTATTTATTTACATTTTTTTATGGTTCATAATCGTCCTGAATTACTCGCCATGTCATGTAGTGAATTTTAATAAAAATATACAATGTAAGAAGTTGAAATATTGTAAATTTAACCTAAAATTAATCGTGACTTTAATTCAGACAATTTAGCATTAAGTGGATGTCACCCTACTCCTTATTAGACTATAAATGATCACGTCTCACGTAAATGCGGTCAAGAATATGCAATATTAAATTTTTAAATTTAAAAAATCAATTAACAAAGCACATAAAATTTCAATTTTTATATTCACACCGTTTTCACGTGTGAATCTATTGGTTTTGTTCAGATTGAATTATCAGTTTTTTGAATTTTGTGAGGATATGGAGCAAGATAGCTTAAAATGTTCAGAGATGAAAAGTTTGTGCCTGAAATTTTACATCATTTTTCAAAAACAGATTTCAAATTGGTTATGGCATTGCTGAGAAAATCGCAAAATACGAGCAAACAAGCAAGCAAGTTAATCAGCAAGAAATCTCAATAACGAGACATTGTAGAGACTTCTAGTTTTTTACATTTGATCCGTGCTGCTCTATAGAAGAGCTGTATTGTTTTTAGGCAAGGTAGGAACAGCCGTTGCTTCAGAAAAAGCAAAAAACTTTCCTTTCTTACGAATTTTTCTAGGGGCGACCCTAGTCAAAATCAATTTTGTCACTTTTTTCTTCGAGGGTTTATCCAAATGGATTGAAACTTTGCATAAATATTCTAGTGCTTTAAACAAATACAAATAAAACATCCCAAAATTTTTTTGAGCAAAGAACCAAGTAGGAAATACATTTTCAATTATGAACTTGGGACAGGTCCAGTCAAAATCTAGTTTTTCACTTATTTTTTCTTCGAGGATAAATCCAAATACAGTAAAACTTTGTATGAGCATTCTAATTCTCAGGTCACACATTTCTGAATTAATAAAAATCAGTTTTTGGACAAAATTTTAAGTCACGTTGTTTTTGAATGTACAACCAAATTTATAAAATTTGGGTCTGACGACATATAGATAGGGTTACCATCTAATTTTCATGAAAATACAGGACATTTGATAAATTTCCTAAAAAATACAAGACACAAAGGAAAATTTGAAAATTAACGGAAATTTTCGTGAAAAAAATACAGGACCTGGAACAAAGTTTTCAAATTTATACAGGACAGGGTTTTGAAATACAGGACTGTCCGTTGTAAAACTACGCAGATGGTCACCCTACATATAGAATACATTTTTTGCTTTAGATATTTAAAACTGTTTTGTATAAATATTAGTATACTCACACAAAGTTTCACTGTAATTGGATAAACCTTCGAAGAAAAAAAGTGAAAAACTAGATTTTGACTAGACCTGTCCCAAGTTCATAATTGAAAATGTATTTCCTACTTGGTTCTTTGCTCAAAAAAATTTAGAATCTTTTATTTGTATTTGTTTTAAGCACTAGAATATTTATGCAAAGTTTCAATCCATTTGGATAAAACCTCGAAGAAAAAAGTGACAAAATTGATTTTGACTAGGGTCGCCCCTAGTCCAAAATGGAAAATGTATTTCCTACTTGGTTCTTTGCTCAAAAACATTTTAAGATGTTTTATTTGTATTTATTTTAAGCATTAGAATATTTATGCAAAGTTTCAATCCATTTGGATAAACCCTCGAAGAAAAAAGTGACAAAATTGATTTTGACTAGGGTCGCCCCTAGTCCAAAATTGAAAATGTATTTCCTACTTGGTTCTTTGCTCAAAAAAATTTTAAGATGTTTTATTTGTATTGTAAAATTGATTTTGACTAGGGTCGCCCCTAGTCCAAAATTGAAAATGTATTTCCTACTTGGTTCTTTACTCAAAAAAATTTTAAGATGTTTTATTTGTATTTGTTTTAAGCACTAGAATATTTATGCAAAGTTTCAATCCATTTGGATAAACCCTCGAAGAAAAAAGTGACAAAATTGATTTGGACTAGGGTCGCCCCTAGTCCAAAATTGAAAATGTATTTCCTACTTGGTTCTTTGCTCAAAAACATTTTAAGATGTTTTATTTGTATTTGTTTTAAGCATTAAAATATTTATGCAAAGTTTCAATCCATTTAGATAAACCCTCGAAGAAAAAAGTGAGAAAATTGATTTTGACTAGGGTCGCCCCTAGTCCAAAATTGAAAATGTATTTCCTACTTGGTTCTTTGCTCAAAAAAATTTTAAGATGTTTTATTTGTATTGTAAAATTGATTTTGACTAGGGTCGCCCCTAGTCCAAAATTGAAAATGTATTTCCTACTTGGTTCTTTACTCAAAAAAATTTTAAGATGTTTTATTTGTATTTGTTTTAAGCACTAGAATTATTTATGCAAAGTTTCAATCCATTTGGATAAACCCTCGAAGAAAAAAGTGACAAAATTGATTTTGACTAGGGTCGCCCCTAGTCCATAATTGAAAATGTATTTCCTACTTGGTTCTTTACTCAAAAAAATTTTAAGATGTTTTTTTGTATGTGTTTTAAGCATTAAAATATTTATGCAAAGTTTCAATCCATTTGGATAAACCCTCGAAGAAAAAAGTGACAAAATTGATTTTGACTAGGGTCGCCCCTAGTCCAAAATTGAAAATTTATTTCCTGCTTGGTTCTTTGCTCAAAAACATTTTAAGATGTTTTATTTGTATTTATTTTAAGCATTAAAATATTTATGCAAAGTTTCAATCCATTTGGATAAACCCTCGAAGAAAAAAGTGACAAAATTGATTTTGACTAGGGTCGCCCCTAGTCCAAAATTGAAAATTTATTTCCTGCTTGGTTCTTTGCTCAAAAACATTTTAAAATGTTTTATTTGTATTTATTTTAAGCATTAAAATATTTATGCAAAGTTTCAATCCATTTGGATAAACCCTCGAAGAAAAAAGTGACAAAATTGATTTTGACTAGGGTCGCCCCTAGTCCAAAATTGAAAATTTATTTCCTGCTTGGTTCTTTGCTCAAAAACATTTTAAGATGTTTTATTTGTATTTGTTTTAAGCATTAGAATATTTATGCAAAGTTTCAATCCATTTGGATAAACCCTCAAAGAAAAAAGTGACAAAATTGATTTGGACTAGGGTCGCCCCTAGTCCAAAATTGAAAATGTATTTCCTACTTGGTTCTTTGCTCAAAAAAATTTTAAGATGTTTTATTTGTATTTGTTTTAAGCATTAAAATATTTATGCAAAGTTTCAATCCATTTAGATAAACCCTCGAAGAAAAAAGTGAGAAAATTGATTTTGACTAGGGTCGCCCCTAGTCCAAAATTGAAAATGTATTTCCTACTTGGTTCTTTGCTCAAAAAAATTTTAAGATGTTTTATTTGTATTTGTTTTAAGCACTAGAATATTTATGCAAAGTTTTAATCCATTTGAATAAACCCTAGAAGAAAAAAGTGACAATATTGATTTTGACTAGGGTCGCCCCTAGTCCAAAATTGAAAATGTATTTCCTTCTTGGTTCTTTGCTCAAAAAAATTTTAGGATGCTTTATTTGTATTTGTTTTAAGCACTAGAATATTTATGCAAAGTTTCAATCCATTTGGATAAACCCTCGAAGAAAAAAGTGACAAAATTGATTTTGACTAGGGTCGCCCCTAGTCCAAAATTGAAAATTGATTTTCTATGGTGTACTTTGGTCAAAAAAATTTTAAGATGTTTTATTTGTATTTGTTTTAAGCACTAGAATATTTATGCAAAGTTTTAATCCATTTGGATAAACCCTAGAAGAAAAAAGTGACAAAATTGATTTTGACTAGGGTCGCCCCTGGTCCAAAATTAAAAATTTATTTCCTACTTGGTTCTTTGCTCAAAAAAATTTTAAGATGTTTTATTTGTATTTGTTTTAAGCACTAAAATATTTATGCAAAGTTTTAATCCATTTGAATAAACCCTAGAAGAAAAAAGTGACAATATTGATTTTGACTAGGGTCGCCCCTGGTCCAAAATTGAAAATGTATTTCCTACTTGGTTCTTTGCTCAAAAAAATTTTAGAATGTTTTATTTGTATTTGTTTTAAGCACTAGAATATTTATGCAAAGTTTTAATCCATTTGGATAAATCCTCGAAGAAAAAAGTTACAAAATTGATTTTTAATAAGGGTCGCCCCTAGTCCAAAATTGAAAATGTATTTCCTACCTGGTTCTTTGCTCAAAAAAATTTTTGGATGTTTTATTTGTATTTGTTTTAAGCACTAGAATATTTATGCAAAGTTTCAATCCATTTGTATAAACCCTCGAAGAAAAAAGTGACAAAATTGATTTTGACTAGTGTCGCCCCTAGTACAAAATTGAAAATTGATTTTCTATGGTGTACTTTGGTCAAAAAAATTTATTCTATGTTTTATTTGAATTGAAATAATTCTGACATAAATACATACCAATATTACTTTTTGTAATGCATAGCTTAAAAAAAATCGAAATCTAAAATTTCGACTACCCCATCTGATTTTTGTTCATACTCTTCACTGTGGAAACCAAAAAACAAATTCTTTATCTTAAAACACTTGACATAATTCAGGATTAATTACTTTTTAATAATATTTTAACATTAACGAGAAAATGTGGTTCAAATAAGTGTGAGCTATACTGGTTCATAGTGTTCCCAAGGGTGACGAAATTCGAACTAAGTGTTTTTGTAGCTGACATAATTATGACAAAAATTAGGTATAACTTTTGAACTGTGTCGATATGGGTCTCGGCCGTACTTTACACCAACCCTTCAAACTTATGCTGAGCAAATCTTGGTCTATCCATAAGACTTTTGATGGTACGGTGTGAATATATCCGCATTGGGTTTCTACCCGATACACTAGTTTTCATAAAATTCGCTTAACTTTTTTTTATAGTTAATTAATGAACAATTTTTCTTTATATTTAAAAGTTTTATTGCGAATATTCTGATATAAATTTTTTACATAATTAATTAAGGATATGTTAATTAGTCGTGTTTATTATAGGCTTTTTAAAAACTCATAAAACTAAGTTAAGGTATTGGAGATGGAGACTAAGTTTATGAAATAAATGCACCATTTAGCGAATATTTAAAGCTATTGCAGTTGAAATTGACACTTTTATTTTTTTAATTTTGAGTCAATGAAACTGTCGACTGCATTACGTGAAGCCTCTCAAGTGATAATGATCCTATATAGTAAATGAAATTCCTTTAATTCAGATCCATTCATGGGGAAAATGTCGTGTATGAGGGATTATTTTTATTGCACTTTACTCGACCTGGAATTTCATTTCATTTTACTTCAGTTGTCCAAGGAAATTGAATATAGATTGGACAAGCATGGCAATGAGTCATAAGAAAATAAAAGAGCCGTTCTTTTGTATTATAGGAATTTTATAATTTGATCAGAATCCTCCTGGTTTCAAACTTTATGGTTTCAGTACCGTAGCTATGTTCTTGTTGCGTTTAATGGAAGACTCTCGCCGAAGATTAAGGAGTCATCATCAGCTGAGTCAGTCTGTCTTTTATTTAGATTTAAGAAGGAAGTGAGGTTGAAAAATCCATTTTTTGATGATCTCAATAAATTGAAAGATCGCTATTAGTGAAATCCTTAATCTATTGACTATCTTACAATTTTTTACAGTTTAAATTTCGCAATCATCTTCAATTTACAGTTGTGTCATCCTAAAGAAGTGCATTAGACACATTACAAATTGCCAGTTGTCGTCTCACGTATCTCAACTAATTTCATCAATATGGGAAGTTTAAGTACACACATTTATTTGCTTTAAAATATGTGATATATTTTTTATTGTTATTATTTTTTTAAAAGAATCATTTAGTAAAACGATTCTAGTTAATGAAACTTAAATGAATTTTCTTTGTTTAATCAATTGAATTTTATTGTTTTCTCAGGATATGAAATTTCAGAACAATTTCATGGACATTTTATAAAATAAAATATATGTTAATTTGCTACAATATATTGTGTGTCACGTAATTTAACTTTATATATCTAGTAAGGAATTTTGAGTAAGACATGAACTACTTTTTAAATTTATTAACACATGCATGGCATTTTTATACTATGAATATCAAATTAAAATGTTAAATTCATTTATGAATGGCAAAAATAAAATTTTAACGGCATTTTAAATATTGAATTTTTAACGATTTTTTAAATTTCGAACAACAAAGTCACCACAAAAAATATGTAAACAAATCGTTGTGGTGAAAACAATGAAATTTGACTAGACAAAAATTAAAGTCATTAAAATACATTGATTGCTGCTTATTGAGACGTAAATTAACTTAAAACGACATTACCAATCGTGTGAAAAAGAAGAATAATTGTGGACCTAATTGTAACTTCAAAATTACAGCATAAATTGAACATCAAAAGAATTACAAGAGGTTAAACACATTGAGAACAAAAAATAGCCATTGATGGCAAACTTGAAAGCTTGATAGCTTTGTGGGATTGATTATTATAGGTAAGTCATGAAAAGCAACATCCAGTGACATAATAATGTTTAAAAAATTATAAATTTCATATTTTTTTTGTAAATTATGGATTTTATTTGGAATATCTGCTACATAGAAGCTCGTTATCAAAAGTCTATATGAAGTACAGCAGAGAATAATCACAAATATGACATCAATATGAGCTTAAAAATCATAATATTAACTTTAATGCTCTCAATAGTTGTTCCAGTGACAGGTGAATATTTTCAAGTTAATTTAACTAAGTTAATAATAATTTTGCATGATCAATAGACTCTTGCACGAGCATTACAGGATGGAAACTAAGGCATGTTGATGTTGACCATAAAGAGCCGATAGCTACGAGAGAAATGACCACAAAAACGATTGATATTGATAATGACAACAATATTAAGAACTTAAGCAGGATGCAGCGATTCTATACAGAACCTATAATACTGCAAATTGGAGAAGAGCCAGAAAGATGCGAAGACGAATTTGAGAAAGTTTATTGTCACAATCACGGAAAGTGCATTAAAATTAAGATTCCTGGAAGTTCAAGTTATGAGAAAGCTCATTGTATTTGTGATGATGGATATTCTGATTCACGATGTATGACTAAAGTACCGGATGGTGAATATAGAACTATTAAGGATCGATCAGATATAAATCACAAACATCCATCATCAACAACGATCGTAACAACAACTGAGACGAAAACATTGAGTTCAACGGAAAGAAATATTGCAAATGAGCCGAATAAGAAATTGGGCGATAAATCTCCATGTCCGGAACCTTGGAATCATGACTTTTGTATTAATGGTGAATGTATTATGCTTCCACATTTAAGTACTGTAGATTATTTTTGTGATTGTCATAATGAATTTACTGGACTAAGATGTGAGAGGAAAGCAATCGATTATCATGATTTGAAAATAAGAGCCCGTCGGGATATACGAGGTAGGTTCTGGGCACATACTTAAATGTTTGATTTCTAACGCACAATTTAAGTTTGAATTACTTTGCAAATATTTTCAAACCCATTAAATTTCAAAAAAATTTCGACCGTTATTTTTTTAAAATATTTTATGACCGTTGATTTTTTCATTATTTGCTTACAGGTTCAAGGAAAAAGAAATACAATCGTAAATTTCGCCAACTTACTTGACATGAGTATTCGATTGAGTGAATATAATTAACATAAAGCTGATCTAAAATGTGACTACAAAAACAAGAGTCAAAAGACGAGTTTAGCAAGCAGATGATGATTCATGTGGAATATTTGCTAAGTGAAATGTGTACTAGTAGTAGATTCTGCTACTATGAAACTTCCTTAATTTCGGATTTTTTTCTTTCCTTCGATTTTATCGAGAATATTTTATAGATTTTTAAGCTTTATTGCACATTTTTTTCCTTGTTTTTAAAAGGACATTTTTAAGAAAGTTCTCGGCTTAAATTTCTCATGTGCAATATTTTATAATTCCAAATTAAGTTATTGCTAGCTAGCTTCTTTTGTTATTATTCCGCTTACTCAAAATCTCTTGCTTTACAATAATTCCTTCTTCTTCTCCCTTATTATTTACTAATATTAAATTTAAATATGATATTTTCCTATTCATTAACATAATTAATAACTCAAAATGATAATTAAAATAGAAATTGATAACTTTTTTGGGTCGCCATTACATGAAACTATGTTGATGTATGTAAGAACAAGCAACAAACAACAAATTTATGATGAAAAAGTTAATAAAATTATAGTTTTTTTTAGCTATTAGTGTAGGTATTAAGACAAAAAGTCAGTTTTTAGTAAGCTGAAACATTAAAGTTGAATGAGGTTTAAACTTTAAAAAAGTTCAATTTTTGAACCTAAAATTCAAATTTCAAAAAACCGTTAAAAATTCAAAACTCAAAAAACTGTTAAAAGTTCACATCTTAAAAAAATACAGGAATTTAAATATTAATGCTTAAAATCTTAAAATTGACAGATTTTTAACGGTTTTAAAATATTCAAACGCTAGGTCGACTAAATTTAAACATGTCGAAAAAATTCGACACTGAAATGTCCGTAGCATGATAAAAAATTCGACAAAAATCTTTGAAAACATTCCCCACGTAGCCAAAATCGCCGTCAATGAAAAAATCTACTTAAATGTACAATTTTTTGGATGATCCAATAGAAGTCGATTTTTCATCCATTACATTCGTTTTTCTTGAGCCGCTATATACTTCACAAGTGCAATCAGAAATCACTTATATAAGGCACAGTAAAATTTTCATACAAAGTGTGATTAATTAATTAAATTAATTACATGCAAATTATTCATCTAAATGAAGACTTTGACTCTTATTTTCAAAGACAAAATCCTTAATTAATTTTTTTTGGATTTTGTCTACAAATTATAGTATAATTAACAAAAAATATTTTCATACAAAAAAAATTCAAAATTTTTCCGTTAATCGGTTTTTATATTGTAACGGTCAAAAAAAATTTGATTTTGGTTCAAAAAAATAATCGACGTGAAATCGACGTGAAATCGACGTAAAATCGACCAAAAATCGTCCCTTTTCATATTAGCATAATGTCCAATGTACGATACATGGAATGTACATATCGAACATACATGGAAGATTTTGATGTAATACATAAAATCTTCCATTCGTCGACTTATGGTTACGTGGATCTAATTCCAAGACTAGTCATCAACTCTCTTACATCACTCTTTACTCCACACACTCAAAAGTACAGTTTAAACTCAAGAATTCCATTGAAGATGAATTTGTTTCGATCTAATTGATTCACAATAAACGAACGGTACTTCAATTCATAACAATTGACACTCAAAAATGCCAATGACTGAATAGAACTTTCAATTCCATTCTCAAAAGAGCTACAATAATTTTTTTCATCAAAAGAATTAACTGCATTCACAAAAAGGTTCAATTCATACTGTTAATCCAATTGAAAGTCACTCATTGATGTCTAATTATTTACTCCATCAAAATGACAATATTCACACGATCAATAGATGTCAATAATATGATTTTAATGTGAATATGTTTTTATGAATAATTTAAAAAGAGTTATTTTGTAATGTCGAAATGCCAGCTAACTGTTACATCATTATTCTCACATTAACATTTTAAACTTCTCATTTTTTTGATGCTCTAGCATTCATATAAAGATTGGTCGAAGAGTTTGTGGAGATTTTGGGTGAATGAGGCGCTGAATTGAACTAAAATTTCTGAATTAAGCTTTATGAAGTGCTGAATTGCTGAATAAGACGCTGAGCTCTTCTGAACAAAATACAATATAGCACAAAGTGATCAAAAACTCACAAATTTGCATCATTTCAAGCTAATCAAAATCTTCCTCACTTCTTCTATTTTCGATCTAATGATAACCACATGAGCTGTGCCTCGTCTTAATGTCATCTCGTGTGCATGAAAATGGCAATTTTGAAATCTTTCGTAGATTTTTTTATGCCATTTATTTCTTCTCTACACATTAGAAATAGGTTAGAAATGTCTTTTGTGCATGCACACTAGATGTTAGAGTCACATGAACGGCTTGCTACATTGTAAGTTTTAACAAAATTACGAAAATGGCAGTAAAAATTTATGCACGGAAGAATGCGGCACATGTTGAATTGTGAATTCTGGAGGCATTTATCAATATTTTTTCTGCTGCCTTTCAATGCCTGGCGTTTCAATTAATTTATTGTGAATAGACAGTTTCTGGGTCGTTTGGGAGTCTTGCTGAAATGTTTATTTGCAGGTAGACGTTGAAAAAATATTGGTAAAAGTCAATAAAAACTGGATGACGGAAGCTAATGCTAAAATGCATCTATCATGAAAGTCACAAGTTTCTTTTGAAATTTTGTTGCTTAATTTAATGCCTTTTGCAAAATTAAATCGTAATTTGATACCCTTTTATTTTGAGGTTAGATTATTTTTTAAAGTAATTAAATTTTTCAAAATTCAGTCATAATCATAGTCAAGTTAACGTTTCCAACGAAAACCAAACAAAGACAGCAGCAACACAACAAAATAACAGCTGCTAATTTTAATTTTAACCACAAAAATTGCAGTGAAAATTTGAATTTCTAACGATGATTAATGGCGTTTGATGTGCGATTAACATTTTCGCTTTTTTATTCTCCGCATTAAACGCTTTTTAATAGGTTTAAATTAATCTTTTTATGCCGTTTGCATGCTAAATTTAAAGCTTACAAAGATGATCAGAAATTTCATTTTTTTTCTCATATTCATAGTTTGGTTATGTTATTATGAATATTGGCACGCGATGATACCTATTTAATTTCAAAAGACAAAAACGTCAGTCAACAATCAGAAAAAGTAAATCTTTTTATGAAGTATGAAAAAAAAAGTTTCGTCGCTAATTATGGCGTTAAAGTCTTTTGAATTGTCCATTGGAGTGAATGTAAATTAAGCCTAAAGAGAGATTAATTAAAATTGTTTTTTGATAAAATTAAGGCATGTTAATGATTAATTTCCTTTATCCTATTATAGTTTCATTTGAATTGAAGCAGGAATGTCGAAAAACCAAAAGAAGACTAGCCTACAAGAGTATGTAGATTTTTAAGACAAACTTTGGCTACATCGAAGTTTGAGGATTCAATGATTTCAACCAATCTTGATTGTGCTGTGATCCAGAAGTTTAATCTGTAAGATCAGGTGAAATCAGGACTAGTAAAAAATTTTGGAGCTCACTCAAAGTTAAGTATGTAAAGGTAAACTAAGGGCATACCAACAAATACTTTCGAAAAAAAGTATACTCTCATCTAGCCTGACAAGGGATCATTTAAAGGAAATAAAGTTGAAAATCCAAATAAAATCGAAAAGTTCAACAAAATTATCATCAAAGCCGGTTACTCCATCGTCAATAGACCACATAACAGTACATTTATCACCCCAAAGTCCATCTTAAGTATGTAATTCACCTATCAATTCAAGCATTAGTTTTAATACAGATTGCTTCAGATTACGAAATGTTACAAAACGTTTTTACTGCAAAAAAAACTTCCACAAATTTCACGTAAAAGCGATACAAAAGGAAAGCACAAAGAATAATCATTATATTGTCTTTTGTTTAGCTCACAACAGCAACAAACATTTACCTTGCGTATTGGCTCACATCTCACCACTCTCTATTTCTCTTTTTATAGCACAATAACATATCGTATAGTGCAGATTTATAGCCAATAAATTGTGTGTTGGTCTGCTTTTTTCGCAATTAACTTTTTTCATGGTTATGTAATCGCGGCATAAAATGAAAAAAAAAAGATCGTCAATAAATCGTCCCGGTCTGGGAAAAATTAGTAGTTTCTCACAAATTGCTCATGTGATGGCTTAAAAATCTAAATTTTTGCATTCTTCACCTTTTATTGTATTGTATTGAATATTATGGCAGACGATATGCTGTTGGGAATGAGGAACAACCCTTTGTTCTCACTTCTATAGCTTCTTATTTAGATTTAAAAAGTAGCAGCTTAATGCGGGTCAATCATTTCATGTTATGCTGCACGTGAATTATGTTTTTACACAGCATATTATGCTGTATTGTATTTAACACTTTTGACATTTCCTTGCCTGCAGAATGCAGCTGCCGATACAGCAACATTGTTGCATGCTTCTCTGTTTTTATTTCAATTAATTTTTTCATTTTTCTTTTACTTAAATGAATAAACAAACTCCGTGGCTCATTAAAATTGGAAGAAGAAATGAGAGATTTTTTTATATGCTTTTTGAATTGATTTTAATGCTCCAAATTAATGTTGCTCTGTATTATTGTTTATAAATATTGCCTATAACGATTTCTTTTTATTTGCCATAAAATGTTGCTTAATGAATGAAGCATGAGCACTTTTTTATCTTATTTCTGTACTGAGCATGAGAATATTTGATTGCAATTTTTTAACGACTGATGCAAATGAATTTTATGGTTATTTTACAAATTTTAATAACGGATCTTGGCAATTTTGAATTTATTGCAGACATTTTCAATGTCAAGATTTAATTGAAAAACTTATTATGTAATTTTTAGTTGTGTAATTGAAATGTTACCTATCTCGGCAGTAGAAGCTAGGAAATTCTGCCATCTAGGATGAAAAGTTCAGCAATTTTGGTGAATAATTCACAAAACTC